CGTGGGGACTCAAAATTGATTCAGGCCCCATTCTTCTATAAGGTGGTGTCGTACCTTTTACTTTATAAAGAAGGGTTACTCGGGGAACTTCGTAGAGTTTAGCTGCGGTTGCAACTCGCATACCGCGTTGTACTTCCGCCAAAGCATTTTGCATGGCTTCTTCGGTATAAGCGTGCATTTTTCTTTTCGAAGGAGGCATATTTTGCATTTTGCGTAACTGGATTTGATTAGATTTGTGACTTAATTTTTTTTTAAGTGACAAGTGCCGATAATTGACATGATTTGTCAAGTACTGATGGGAAAATCAAAATACATTCTAATTTGATTTTAAAAATGAAAATTGTTGGTGGTTGCATTATAAATACAAATTTTAATTTAGAGATCGTTGAGGTGATATTTTAATATCAAGGTAGTGCATTGGATAGTGATGATGTTAAAAAAATCGTAATATTTATACTAACGTGAAGGTAGCTGTACATTGGAAAATATAAAATGAAAATCTGCGATTGGTACGTTTTAATCCTGATCGTTATTCCCAAGATTGCCAATCATAGATGATGATTAAGATTAAATTGTAGCAATTAAGGAGAAGGTGATGTTTTAGCTTTGGAAATACACAAAAATCAATTAATCATGGCGAGGTATCACTGAATTCGTACTTTTTAGCTCTGTCAGAAAATGTTATAAGTTATAATATAGAGGTGTTCCACTAAAAAAAACAAAGTTGACCCATTTTCCGGAAAAACTAAAAGTGATAAACACTTTACTTATGATGCGCACTATATTTTCCTGATCATCCTTAAGATTAAGGTGGAATGATGGTCCCAATCTTAAGAATTTACACATTCTTACATATAGACTAATGCATTATGGTTTTGATTAATGCCATTTTAATACTGATGATGGATTAAAATATGCCATCTGATCTAGAATGATCAAATCCCTTATTTAGATTGGTATAGTAAAACCTAGATATAACGGAGCTCTTTAGAACGGACTTCGGATTTGGTAGATCTATATTGGTAGATCTATATTATTTAATTCGCATTTCAGTTATTCTATCCAAACCGGGTCAAAGGTCTTTGCTACGTCTAAGTCTAAAGCAAGCCACAGTGAACTTTTCATCTTCAAACCCTTGTTCAATGATGTTTGTAAGCTGCGTCAATTGATGAATAATTGAATGAGATTTGCAAAATCCAAACTGGATATTAGGGATAATCGTCTCAATTTCATTTGATAGACTTGCATTCACAAATCTTTGACATTAATATTTCCACGGTTTTCCAAGTTGAGAAATAACCTATGTTTAGGCACGAAGTAGATCTTCTTAAACTTGATTCTCCCTCAACAAGACTTCTTCACTCATTTGCCACTTCTATTGCCTTACATCAGTTAGTCACTGAACCCACAAGAATTACACAAAATTCGCAAACTTTACTTGATCCAATTTTTACAACAAATGATCAGCTGTTTACTAGCATCGATGTTGTAAACGTACCCAATATATCTGATCATGAACTAGTAAAGTGTGAACTGGCATTTGATATGGTTAGGCCTGCTGCAATTTATCGTTCATACAGGGATGTGAAAAACATTAATTTTCCACAATTCTTGAATGATTTGAAATCAATTCAATAATGTAATAATAACTTTAAAATAACTTATAATATGATAAAATAACTTTTTTTAATAACTGTTTACTTACTCTGATGGATTTGCATGTACCTTTAAAAACTAGACAATTTACAAAGGCTCCCAGTTAAGTGTCCCTAGTTAACAGATAATACTAAACTTCTAATGTCTATTCGAGATGATGCGCTTAAAAAGTCCAAGCTAATTCAAGACTGGGTTTTATACAAGTTGCATCTCAATCTGGTAACATCAAGCGTGCGGGCTGAAAAGAAGGCATACTATGATTATGCCTTACCTAGTAAAGATCCAAAAGTTCTTTGGAGGAAGATTAAGCTTATAAATATAAATAAAAAAATCTATAATAAGGTACCTAACATTTTTCCTCCAAACGATTTAAATAATTATTTTGTTCACGGTGATTCTGCACTTTATATTCAGACTGATCCCGACTTACCCATATTTTATCAAAATAATGTAAACCCTAGAGTGCAGATAATGCAAGCTTTTATGCCCATTGATGAACATGAAGTATATATAATAATTAATAACATTCAAACTGCAGCACTGCTATTCATCAATCAGTTTTTCCGGATACCTAGAAGAGGGCTGCAGTAATTGCGTTACCGAAAGTGTCGTCCCCTTCTGCCCTAAAAGATTTTAGACCAATCAGTATCCTGCCAGTGATGTCAAAAATTTTAGAGAGAGATCAACAATCTAGATTTCGTTCGAGTTTCAGCTGCGCAACGGCTTTATTGAACCTTACAGATAAGGTATTTGTTTCTAGAGAGGCCGGGTAAGCCCCACTTTTGTTATCGTTAGACTTCACCAAAGCATTTGATACAATAAATCATAATATACTTGCATCTAAACTTCATTACTTTGGTCTTGGAAATCGGGCTATAATTTTGATCGGATAGGTCTCAGGTTGTGAAGATTAATAGTCAGATGTTGTTCTCTATTTATACATCTGATTTTAACCAAGTTCTTGAGCATTGGCAGATTCATTTGTATGCAGATGATACACAGATTCCGCTGAATTTTAATCCAAATAATTGGGATGATGCCTGCATAAAATTTAACTCAGATGTAGCATTATTTTCTGATGTTGCGAAACGCCATGAGCTTGTGCTTAATCCATCCAAGTCTTCTGTTCTTCTGTTTTGCCGTAGTGTCACAAGGAGACCAACTAAACCTTTGATTTCCGGTCAATTGGTGATGGATGGCGAATCTCTTACTGTTTCTGATGATATAAAAATTTTAGGAGTTACATTGGATCATCAGTTGAGGTTTGAGATGCATGTGGCCAGGTGCCCATCGGGATGTCTTAAATAAGAAATTAAAAATTATGTTGTTTGATAGCTTGGTTCTAAGGAAATTAAATAACTGCGACGTTTATGGTCCAAATTTAACGGGGGCAAGTGGGCGTCGTATCCAAAACCTCCAGAACGGTTATCTAAGGTATATTTACGGAATTCGTAAATATGACCATATTAGTTATAAGTTGGCAGAGACTGGGTGGTTGAACATGAAGAACAGACGTAAACGGCTTGTAACTTGCGTTTATTATAAAATTCTTAAAAGTCAACGGCCTCCTTACTTGCTGCAACGCCTATCTTTCAGAATGTAATATTAATGTAAGATGTATTGAGAGTACCACGCCGCGCCTCGCACCGATCCTTTTCCTACCAGATAGCCAAAACGTACAATGATCTACCAGTGCACTTTATGGGATTGAGCTGTATTTCGTTCAAGAGTAAGTTAAAATCCTCCCTCTTGCTTGAGTCATCATGATTTTTTTTTATATTCTGAGCTACTAATGCATCGCTTTATACTGGCATGGCGTAGTATTTTGTTATATTTTTTTTTTTTTCTTTCATTTTGTTTTATTGGTAAAAAATTTTCATTTTTGTATATATTTTCTATATATTCTGGATTAAGTGGAAGAGCAGTTGGTTAATAACCAAACTGAACTTCGTCCAGAAAATAAGTCTATTTTCTAAGAATGTATTAATATTTTTTTTTCGTTTTTGCGACTTATTAATAAAGGCATTTATTATTATTATTATACAAGCAATTTCGACATTATAAGAAGATATAAACGCTATTAGCAATTGTCTTTACTTTTCAATATCATTAACATTGTAGTTAATGATATTAATGTTTAATGAATATAAGAAGTTTTTATGGAACATTGTGGGGAGTATTTTATTGAGGAAGTATATGATTTTTGTGTTCCACAATATATGTTTTGTGTTTGCAGGTTATAGTTGCTTTGAACATGAGAGTTATCACATTCTTTGTGCATACAATAAGTAATGTTTGATTCAATGGTAACCCTCACCATGGTTGCCACTGGTTGTAAGTGTTTCTCTTACTTGTCGCCACATTTATGCTTGAGTGAGCAATAATTTTTTGTATGTCCATAGCGTCGATAGTTAAAACATTGTGAAATGTTCTGTGATTTCCTCCTTGGTTCAATGGTGACGATTATATTACTTTTCTCTTTAATGTTAAATACTTCTTTTGAATTTTGGGTCGGTGTTAATTCAACTGCACATAAGCATCGGATTTTTAGTTTTTAGTATCCACTCTAAGACATATACCTCCTCTTTTATCTTCACTTCGTTTCGGTTTTGTGCTGGTTGTAGCCAACTCTTCGCAGCTTTTTCCTCAATGTCATCAACCCATCTCTTGGATAGTCTTCCTGCGCTCCGCTTGTACATGCTCGGCCTCCATGTTAAAATCCGACAACCAATCTTCGACCACTTTATCTCCTTCTGTCTTGCTATATGGCAAAACCATCTCCACTTCGACCTCGCAGCGCTTTCTGCAGTTGGCCATCGATGCTGCTACCCTTTCTTTCCCAAAAGTCTTTTTCTAGTCTTTTATAAGCTTCCTTGGACAAGGGTAAACACTTTTGGAGAGATTGTATCTCCCTACCTCACTCCACGTTTGGTATTTATTTTGTTTGTTGATTTTTAATATGATCTTTGTAAGATTTCATGGTGTTTCTATATCTAGAATCTATTCTTGCGCTATCCATGGCTGTAAAAGTTGCCTGTAAAACCTCTATCTCTTTGATAGACTTTGAAAAGTATGAAATTCTAATTTCTTTTCTGTATAATATTATGTCATTTAAATTTCTTTGTAATTCAGGCGTTGTGAAAAAATATAAGAGAAATTTCTGGCTCCTTTTCTTTTTGTGATAAGGAGTTATCATTATTCTCAGGTTCTATGATATTTTGAGACCTATTTTGTGTTATTAGATCATATAAATTCCAACATATGTAGTGATACAACATATACAAAAAATGTTAAAACACTATAAATGCCAAGATTTCTAACATTTTATTAATAAATAAAATTTACAACTCAGTTCGACGTTTCATAGAATATTTAAAATAAATAATTTCCTTTCTTACCCTATCAATTTTAACTTTTTAACTGAAGAAAGCAATAATTAGCTTGCTCCATACTTTCCTGATTATCATGTTGTTTCCCTATAAAAAAAACTCTTACAATAACATCAAAAAATAAAAATACAGTATTACCTAATTGCCAAGCTTCCTTACAATATTTTTTGCCCATTTCTTTAAATCCCTTGTGTATGTATAAAACCCCCAAATTAGCTATAAGCACCCCCAAATGACTTTGGTCCTCCAAATTCCTTCCAATACTAATAGCTTCACTTAAACACAGCTCTGCATACTCTAAATCACCAGCTTTCCATCCGGTAGTACCCAAATCATTCAAAAGTAACATACTTTGAGGGTCATCCTTTCCTTTAATATCACAACAAATTTTATACGCTTGTTTTAAGTGAACTAATGATTCTTTAACATCTCCTCTATCTAATAAAAATTGGCTGTACCAATCATGAATAACTCCTAGAAGTCCAAGAGTATCTTCATCATTTTCTTTCTTTTTATTCATTTGTTCTAAACACCATTGATAACCCAAACAAGCTCTTTCGTTTTCTTCCCTTAAATGAGCTATTCTAGCTAATTTTAAACTTATATGAATTATTTTAAGATCATCTTCGGCAATTCCATTAGTAAATAACATTCTCATAACATCGATAAACAATCTTTCTGATTTATTGAGTTGTTGTTGTGTAAACGCTAAATTAGCCATTAAATCATAACAATAAATTATCCCTTGATTGTTTTGTTGTTCTTGAGCAATTTTTAGGGCAATGTGAAGGAGCTGCTCTGCAGTGTCATATTGTTCTCGTTGAGTGCAAAGAACCGCTCTTTTTAATGTTAGGATTAACTCACTTTCTTTTTCTTCGTCATCATCTTTAAAACCGAGCCATCCTAAGATAGAAATTGAAATGAGGATGCTCGTTTTAGGGTGATAAATATTATATTTTTTAAAGGTGTGATATAAATTTAGCGGTTTTGATTGGATTAACCTCAAAGCGAGAATTTTATAATAGGTTAATTTTGGGTTTGTACGAAATAATAAATTTGGGAATTTTAAGAGTATTTTCGATATATTTCGTAATCTTAACATTGTTAATTTAAATTATGACGAAAAATAATGTTTTGTCATTTTTTAGGGGTTATGTAATTTGACGTTTTGAAATTAATTGACAGAACAGGGATCTGTAATTTATTTTTCAAATAAATGATTTTTTTCTTATTTAAGAATATATTTCTAAAAATACGATGGAATAAAATTAATAAAGTACATAAATGATTAATTATCACAACAATTTGCATTGTTCATTACTGATAATCTTAATATGAAGTTTAATTCCATAAAAAATATAAAAATTCCACAAATATACTTTAATTTAATCTACAATTTCATTCATAATCTGCAATTAACACCATCATATAAACACCAAAGAACAAAGCTGATACTTGTAACAAAGTTTGAACGAAACTTGGTTTTTCTTCATCCAATAATTCTGGAATAACAGATACTAAAGCGATGTAAATAAAACCACCTGCTGTAAATGGTAAAATCCATCCTGTAGGTAAACCAGATGTGTTTTGAACTAATAAAGATAGAGCTGTACCAGCCAAAGCGCCAAGTGCTGTGGTTAATTGAAGGAACATGGCATTTTTTCTTGAAACCCCAGATTGGAGTAAAATGGCAAAATCTCCAATTTCATGGGGAACTTCATGTAGTAATATTGTGATTGTTGTTATAATACCAATTGTATTCCCAGCTAAATAAGAAGAACCAATCGCAAGACCATCAGTGAAATTATGACAAAAATCAGCAGCTAAATTTAGATAACCAGCTACTTTTATATCTTTCTTATGTTCTTCTTTAGGCTCCTTCTTTTTCTGTTTCTTATCATTATTTTCTTTTGGTTTATTTTGAATTGAATGCGAATGACCATGACCACCACCACCTTTTAATATTCTAACTATTTTTTCAACAATTAAAAACGTTATTATTCCACATAAAACCCATAAACCCACTGATATGTCATGTTTATCTTCTTCACCATGTTTATGGGAGTGCCCATGATTATGACCATGTCCATGCCCATGGTCTTGTTCATTATTCATTGCTGCATGTGGAATTAAATGTAGAAAAGCATCCCCAAGTAAACCTCCAGAAGCAAAGGCCAATAATATTTTTAATAAAGGTTGTTTTTGTTGTGTATTATCCAGAGGAATAAAAAATAAGATAAAAAATGGGGCTGCACTAATTAATAAAGTTGATCCCATCGCATATAACCAGATTTCATTATCATTCAGTTGATTTTTTACAGTTTCAGATCGTTTCTCTTCAGCTACCTTTTCATTGGCAGCCTTTGAGTATTTAAAAGACGGCGACTCCGCCGGATGATCGTGATGTGCGTGATCATGGTCATGATGATGATGATTATGATGTTGAGCCAAAGAATAGTTTAAAATAACTAAACAACATACCAAAAACAATTGAAATTTACACATTTTAACCATTATTTCTATTATATTCTAGGTTCTTATTTATCTAGGTTTCTAGGTGATCACGTTGGAGATAAAGTTTAGACAAAACCCAGACTTTTATTATACTCAAATTGAAATACGTGGTGAAAACGTGTTATAGTTAATTGTCAAACAAAAATGTACCCACGCTTTATATCCTAATTCCATTTATTTTCTTGATATTTTTCGATGGGTGTTCTTGTTGATGTTGGAAATTAGTTATAAATGCTAATTTTTATGTTATTTTGCTTAATTTACATATTTTTTTATCGAAGATTTGTTTCTTTTTGGTGATATAATTCAAGTTGGTAATGCTACTGACATTTGTAGGTTATGTTAAATGTATATGAAAATAAAAAATTACTGAAATTGATTTAAATAGTTATTATTTGTTTTGATGGGGAGATGTAAATATTGATTGTTATGTTGTTTGTTTATTATAATATATAATTTATATTTACAATTGTTTTAATTAATAAAAATAACTGACATTTGTAGGTTATGTTAAATGTCAAAAATTAATTAAACTTTAACAATTAATTAATTTAAAAAAATGGAAACGCCGGAAGTATTACAAAATAAATTATATTTTCTCGTTGAGCAATTACAAAATATGGCAAGAGATTTACCGCAAAAATATCAAATGAGAGTTCCATATGAGTTATTATCAAGCTTGGCAAATTGTTTATTAAGTGATACAATATTTGAAATTGCTAAAGGATTAATGGAAATTCAACACGTTACTGAACAACACATGTATCAACAAAGATTACAGTTTTTAAATAATCAAAAAAGTATTTTAGAATCAACATATAGAATTTAATAATTACACATTAATAATTTTTAGTTCAAGACCAAGAAATACTTGATAGAACTGATATAACAGCTGAAGAAAAAGTAAGGAAATTAAATGATCTTAAAATAACCCAAAAAAATGATTTAAAAGAGTTTGATAAATCGCTTGTTCTTCAATTGGATGAAAAAGTAACTGATCAACAACAAACTCTTGAACAAGCTGGAGTTCCAGGTTTTTATGTTACAACAAATCCTCTTGAAATTAAAGTTCAAATGCATCTTTTAGATTTTATATTTAGATTAAGCAAAATGACTATACCAGTGTAATAAGTTATTTAAGGATATATTTTTGATTTAAAAGTAATATGATAGTAAATTAATAAAGTTTTTAAAAACAAATTTATTTAAGATTCAATATATTCAATACTAGGACTATCAAAACAATGCACATCTTCATCAAAGATATCTTCAGGAAAATCTGCGTTTTGTGGATCAATTAATGTAGGAAAAGGAAGTGCTTTCTTGGGTTTTCTTAGTGGTAAAAGCGAATCATAAATAGTCACAATGGAATTTGTCTCGCCTGGAATAGCTTGACCAGTTACCCATAAAACATTAAATTTCGTGTTAATCCTTAATATTTTTAGCCCTCTATTTACTCGGTACTCATTCCCCATATGACCTGGCATTCTTGTACCAGGCCAAACTCTTGCTTTTTCACCACCCCCACCAATATTACCACCACGACGATGAGTCTTGGTTACACCATGTGATCGAGGCATACCTTTAAAACCATGCCTTTTCATAACTCCTTGAAATCCTCTATCGATTCTGTAAAACAAAATTAAGTAATTATGTTTGTTAATTAAAATAACAAATTACGTTTTTCCTCGAACATCAACATAATTCCCAACTTGATAATGTAAGACTCCAATTGGTGTACCTGGAGGAAGGATCCCTTCAGGACTAACAAAAAATCTTGCTAAATGTTTTTTTGGAAGAACTCCTGTGTCTCGAAATATTCCACAATATTCCTTTGTAAATGTTGAAGGATCTGTACTTCCTGCTCCAAGCAATATCACCCCCTTTTTATTATAAATTTTCTCAATTCGTTTTCTTGGAGGATTATATTCTTCAGGAGTGTAATATTTAATCACGTGATTATCTAAAACTTGCAATAAGGTGGTTAAAACTTTCTCCCCATTTTTTAACCAAATAGGATAAATCCCAATTTTCCTAGCAATCACTCCTGTTCGTTTCAAATTAGGAGTCCACTCTATATTTGTAATGTGTTCCTTTTTTAACGACGTTTCCGCTTCTATTTTAAATTGATCTTGAACAACTTCTTTCAAAAATTCTTGATTATCTGAGGTTATGAACTCATTGTGAACCTAACAAATTCATTAATTTTAATTAATTTTTGCGGATAATGATATTAAAACGTATAAAATATACCACACGATTCTTTTTAGTCAACCAAGTTGGATTTCGTAGCCTCGGTTTTGGATTTATAGTGTGTCGCTCCCGAAATTGCGTGTATAGGTTAGGAACGCTGAAAAATACAAATTTTAATACAGGCCTTTTCCAATAATGAATTATATAACTTACGATAAATATAAAAGTTTTTCTTCTATTCTAAATACATGTTTGGCTAAAATATTTGTAATAAAAGCCATAATTCAATACCTTTTATTTTATGAGGTTATGCTAAAAAAGGTTATGTGGCGCCATCTATCACGTTTAGTATTTTTGGCCCATCAAATCCATCCCAAATGGATGTTTTCCGAATGAAAACTTAAGAATTAAGATGAGTTAGAACCTGAAAGTAACTGCAAATTAGTCATATAAAGTATAGGTATATTAGTAATTAATTCAAAATAGATTTACACATAAAAATAATACCGGAAATAGCGTCTAGGTCACATAAAGATAGAGTGAGTAGAAATGCCACCTAAACGAAAACGCGGTGGTGGAGCTAAAAACGTAACAAAATCGTCCCCAACGAAATCACCAGTACAAAACCTCCCTAAAAGAGTCGAAACCAAAAAAGAGTTTGTGCCAAAATTTACGGAGATTATTACTCGATCTAAAAGACGCGGAAAAATAGATACAACGGACGTTGATTCTACTAATGAGACTAATGATACTTCTTTAGAAGCTAACATCCAACCGAAATTAGATGAGGTTAACCCAACAAATCTTGATGATTCTACAATTTCTGAAGAAAACTGTTCTGAAAAAAGTGAACTATCTCAAGAAGAGAACAAAACTGTGGAATCTAAAGATGTTTCAATAATTATGGATATTGATGATAGTCAAGATGAATCTGTTAATGAAGATGAACAAGAAGCTATAATTTCGAAACAATTATCGAATTTAGAGTTTGAAATGTCGAATGTTAAAGTAGTAAAAAGCCAATCTCTTGAAAATGAAGATGAAGAAATGAATGAAGAAAAAGAAACTGTGGAGTATATTGATAGTCTAGGCTCTGAAATAATTATTGAATGTGTTTCTGATGATGTTATCCCTATAGCTGGAGAGCAAGAAGTTTGTTTAGAAAGTGATGCTGAAGTGGAGGAAATTAAATTTGGAATTGGGGATGTAGAAGGGCACAATATAGAGGATGGTGAAGTCCATGAAGGAGTGGATGAGGATTTAGAAGAAGATGTACATCAAGAAATAGAAGAACCAATCCCAGAAGAGGAAATAGAAGAAGAAAATCAAGGAAGTGAAGAAATTGAAGAAGATGTTTCAGAGGAGGCTGAAATTCCAGTAAAAAGTGAGGAGAAAATCCAACCAGAAATTGATCAAAATGAATTTGAAGGAACTGATGGTAATCTGAAGAATGTTGATTTCAAAGAAGAGGAAATAGATTATTTAAAATCTCAAGAAATAAAAAAAGTTGCTGAAAATATGGGGGAAAATGAGGAACCAAATAAAGAAGATATTCCAAGGAGTATTGAAGATAACTTAAAAGAATTGGGCTTAAAAGAGGAGAGTACAGAAATAGAAGATATTGAGGGTAAACCCCGTGAAGAATATAATAAAGAATATATAAAATGGTTGGATGCTATGAAAAATAACATGGATATAGACCTAATTAGTACTGAAAAATCTGAAGAAAGTAAATCTGAAACTACAACTGAATTTTCACCAGATACTAAACCCGATACAAAATCTAAATCTGAAATTAAACAAAAACCACCAAGATCTAAACCAGGTCCAAAACCAAAAACCATTTCAAAACCACCCAAAGTTCCAAAACAGCCCAAGAAAAAACAAGAAAAATTACCACCTAATTGTAACAGTGAAAGTGTGAGACGATCAAGTAGAATTAAATCAATACAAACCGTACAAAAACAAAAATCTTCTAAAGGGCATGGTGTTGTAAAACATAAAGAAGAAAGTTTAGAAGAAATTTCTCCCCCCGTTGAAGAAAAACCAATTCCGGAGCCTCCGCCGAAATTTGTTGTTCCACAAGAACCCCAAAAACCGGTGAAGGTTAAATCTCGTTGGAGACGTTCGAGCGAATTGGAACTCGGTTCGAATTTAAATTCGAAACCAAATTTGGTAATGGAACAACCTGTGTGTGAACCAAAATTGGATGCGAATGAAATATTGAAGAAAAATGCCGAAGAAGTGCAAAGAAGATTAAAACAATTTATACATTTAAAGGAAAATTTGTATTTGACGGAACGGATTAGTTGTAAAGAGGCGAAAAAAATGACTTGTGATTGTTTTTTGACTGAAGAAGAAATTACTAGTGGTGAATATGGTTGTGGGGAAGATTGTTTAAATAGATTACTTATGATTGAATGGTAAATGATTTTTTTGTAAGCAAAATTTAAAGTTTTTGAAAATTATTTTTTGTTTCAGTGGAGGTCTATGTGCTGTTGGGGATAGGTGTACAAACAAAAAGTTTCAAAAAGGCGAATTTGCTCCCTGTGAAGTATTTTGTACAGAAAAAAAGGGATTGGGTATTCGAGCAGCTGCCAATATTCCTTAGTAGGTTCATTTTTATTATTCTTATTATGAACATGATTTAAAAATGAAACAATTTTTAAGTGGTTTAGTTATAAAGCTGGATAATACACTATCTTTAAAATCAATTGCTGTTAACCTCTGATGACAATATTAGGGATGTGTTACTCTAATAAAAAGCAATTTTAATTTTAATCACTATTGTTTCATCTTTAAATCTATGGAAATCTTAAATTACTTATGTTAATTATATACAGGGCGTTTGTAAAAAGTCAAAAACATCTAAATTGCTTAATCTTTGATAATTATTCTTTTTTGAAAACTCACTCAATTCGTAGTAAGGGTTTTGTTCCAAGTACAAAGTAGATTTTATTGCGTCAGGAAGAATTTTTTTGAATTCGCGTAAATCTTGTCATCAGTAAGTTAAGCTGACGTTTATTTCTAGTATGGTATTTGTGTATTTTTCACACTTTTTCATACTGTTGTGGATAGCGTCTTACACATATAGCAGTTTGCTTAAAATATTCTTTACATAACTCTAGTCTCTTTAATTCATAAATATTTCTTACACATTTCTTTTCTGATAGTAAAATTCTATTTACCACTGAAGAGAAGCCCCAAAAGATCACGCCATATCTCAGTAGTGGGTAGAATGCTCCATAACAGACAAGCAACGCAGTCTCAGTAGATGTTTCATCTCTAATTTGCTGTATAAGATGTACATATTTAGCTATCTTAGATGCTAAGTATTCGATGTTCTGATTCTATTGGTGATTTTCATCAATCACCATACTAAGAAATTTGACACTATGGGTAGTTACCAGCTCCTCATCTCCATATCTTACCATCATTCTATTTCTGGCACTAATTATATCATATCCACCATAACGTCGGTTTTATTGATTTTTTATTTAATTTATGATTATTTGTATGCAGTGATGGGCGCTGGGAAAATACCCGTCGGGTAGGTATTTCTAAAATGAGTATTTATCCAAATAGTCCATATAAAAGTGATATCAGTAAATCATGGGTTCCAAAAAAAAAAATGAAGAGGAAGATGATGAAATGGACGTTGAAGACGAGGAATTGTCAACAGTCAAAGACATATTATCATCAGACGAATCTGTCGTAATTTAGATTAGATCAAGTTATTATGATTATTATCATCAAGCAGCTCTCTGCGTCCATTGTTGGACATAGACATAGACGATTCTAATTATGTGCTGTCTGAATCCAATTGTTGGTCATTCTTTTCACGTTTTGTTCACTGCTCATTATTCATTCGCGCGACATGACCCGCCCAGTTCCACTTAAGCTTTGCCACAATGTTGACCACATCATTTACGCCAGTTCTTCTTCATAGGTCTTCATTTCGTATGTAGTTCTTCAGAGTTACACCCAGAATCGATCTCTCCATCTATGTTTGCGTCACATGGACCCTCCTGGCAGTGGCTACCGTTAATGTTAAAGTTTCGAAGCCGTATGTCATAACCGGAAACACGCATTGATTGAAAGCTAAAAGGCCTTGGCCTTTTCTCTAAGTTTCCCGTAGGCTGCCCATACGAGTGTGATCCTTCTATTTAGTTCGTTTATTTGATTATCTCTCGTTACACGAACCTCATAGTCAAGATATACAGCTGTCAACCCTCTCCATCTCATTATTCCCAATGTTGATGTTAAAGCTAGGAACAAGATTTGCCTTCAGATTTGATTTCTCCTCGTTGATATTTAGCCCGACTCTTGTACATACCTCCTTTAAGTCGTTCAGCATTAGTTTAATCTCTCCAAGGCTATTACTTAAGCATTTGCCATCAATGTTTATGCCTTTTTGGGTCCAATCCAGTTGTTTAAATGCACTCTCCTGACTGTGATGAACAATTTGGGTTCAACAGTGTATCGCCTTGTTTTACTCACAATCAGTATTTTACTACTTCTACTCTCTTCAGTACTTTCATGCAATTTTACCGTCAGGTGAATGTCTGAACGTTTAACTCCTGGTTAAGTAGAACAGATGGCAGGATTTTTGGAAACTGTTATTTGGACTTCGCCGTTTGACTACATAAAGTTTCAGTCTGATGATATTACATTATTGTATTCTGTATTTATTTTTTTTTGTTTGTAGTCGATAAACTGGTAGATCCATCGCGTCAGGCAAGAATTTCATATACAGGGTGCGGCAAAAGTCAATTAATCAATATTAATAAATTAACAAAAATACGTAGATGCGAGTTCTGTCACATCGTTCTGGCACATCGTCAAGGCTGCGCAACATCATATAAAGTACACGAAAGTCGAGCGGATCTTGTGAAGGTACATACGGTACAATGCCAATTACAACACGATTTTTGAATAGTTTGCGGCAGAGTATCCTGGTAGACCTATTGCAACTACATAAGAAAGTGCTGCGGTGCTCGGCCCGCCACTGCAGTCACAGAAGATATAATGCAACTCCTTGCTGAAGTGTTCCTCAAGGTACCAACCCAATCTGCACGTCGTATGTTAAAAAAACTTAATATGTGTTATTATCGTCCACGATTGTTGCACGCCTTAACGGCGGATAACCCTAATCATAGACTTGAGTTATGCAAGTGGTACACTGAGTGCGCTGAAGACGACGTAAATTTTTACAAATCCATTCTCTGGAGCGATGAAGCGCAATTTAAACTGAACGGATGAATTAAGCATCACAATTGTGTAACCATGTAACCAGCAACGTTCTTGATATAACAGTGTGACTTGGAGTTTATCGTCTGCCCGTATTTACTTGTTGGAACGGTGAATGCAGAAAAGTATCTAGAACTGCTCATAGGTTTAAGGAGAGAACTTGCAAATAATTGGCAATTAGCAGATATTCGATATTTTCAACAAGTCGGAGCTCCGCCGCAGCAAAAACTAGAAGTTCCTGATGAGGAGTTTGCTGATTGAATAGGGAGAAGGGGTAGAATTGAATGGCCAAACATAACGCCGTGCGATTTCTCGTTTTCGGGAATCTTGAAGAATAAAGTGTTTGCCACCCCACTATGTGATATCGAATATTTGAAATAGAGAATTGAAGAGGAATGCGAAGCTCTAAGTGGTCACCCGCAATTCTTTCGCAAAACCTGCAGGTCCGTGCTCAAGCGATACCAATTATGTATTGATGAAGGTGAATCAATTTTGTTCAACAATAATTTATGTTTTTTCATCCAGTCATTATTATTAATATCGGTTAACTGAATTTTGCCGCGCAATATATATTCCAAAATTCCATCAGATACAATCCAGCTACACGCGATGGCTATTTCTGTTATCATTTAATAGATTCCACGTTCAGTATTTCTTCCCTTCAAGTAGGCGTTTTGAGGAATTTCATTATCCATCAAAATTATCTTTATTGAACTCGTGAATGAGGATTTGAGGACTTCATAGGGATGATATTTTGCGGTTTTTACTATTTTGGGAATATTTGATTTTCTAATGGCCAGATTCGACCCAATATCCCTTACAAAAACATGAGCGTTTTCCTGTACACTCAAAACCATATTTTGTTGAAGCTCCCCTGGAGCATTTGGTTCGGCCAGAGCTCTAGAGATCTCGTATGATTTTTAAATTTAGGTTGGTGATCAGGATTTCTTGGATTGAAGACGTCACTACTAGTTTTTGAGTTCGAGTTCGATCATACAGAGAATTTCTTTTCTTTCTCGCTCGGACAAATTTACCATTTTAGTTTCAGGGATTTTCCATAAACCTATATCCCCTACTTTACGGACGCACTGTATATATTGGGCGAATTTGAAAGAATAGGTAATCTCTGATCTTATTGTTACCAATGTTAGAGTTACTAAATTACATTTTTCCAATTTTTTTAAATTTCTAGTTCCTGTTTTGCTACACCATGTTTTTGTAATTTGATGATGGTTGCTATATTTCTATATCTTTTATTCACATTTTTTTATAGTGGCGAATTTATCTTGGAATATGTTGGAGAAGTTCTCGACCCAGAAGAATTCGAAAAACGTGCCACGGAATATTCCACAGATAAAAACCAACATTACTATTTTATGGCTTTAAGAGCAGACGCTGTAATCGACGCCACACAAAAAGGAAACATCTCTAGATTTATAAATCATTCATGCGATCCAAATGCAGAAACCCAAAAATGGACCGTCAATGGAGAATTACGAATTGGTTTTTACAGCAAAAGAACCATTCTTGCTGGTGAAGAAATTACGTTCGATTATCAATTTCAAAGATATGGGTAAAATTAATTATTTAAACCTAAATTAATTTTAATTATACGATCAACTTTTGATTGTATTTCCAGAAAAGAAGCTCAAAAATGTTTTTGTGAAGCTTCAACATGTCGGGGATGGTTGGGTGAAGAGCCTGATGATGATGATGAAGACGACGAGGAAGAAGATGAGGAAGATGAAGAAGATGACGATCAAGATACGAAATCTGCGATAAAAGATAATGAAAAAACTGAAGAAGTTGAGAAATTAGAAGAGGAAAAAGCTGAAATATCTGGAGAATCTGATCAAATTGTAAAAGAAGAAAAAGTTGTAAAGAAAAAAGAGAAAAAGAAGGTACTAAGACCTAGAAGATTACCAAGAAAAGATATCTTTGAAGATGCAGATTTGGATGAAGAAATTGAAAATTTAACAACAACCGGGTTAAAAAATCAGGCGCAAACACTGAAATTAAGCAGGTTGATGGTAAGGGCAAAAGAACCAGGACAAAGAACGAAGTTACTGCGAGTTTTACGTCATGGAGAATTTCCATGTCGTCGTTTATTCTTGGATTATCACGGTCTTAGACTTATACACGGTTGGATGACTGATGCTCAACACATGGTCAAAGAAAATAAAAAATTGGAATCTCAACGATTAGAAATACTTCAAACTCTAGCAACTCTTCCAATTCCAAATAAAACAATGTTACAAGACAGTAAAGTTCTTCCCACCGTTCAACGATGGTCCAAAAAAATGGACGAAGGTGCAACTTTAGATTCTGATAGTAACTCGCCTAAACTTGAAACAGAAAATGAAATAAAAATAGAAACAAAACCAGATTTTGTTAATATTTCGGAAGTAGTTAAATCTGTAAATGAAAATATGGAGGTGTCTCCTGTTACATTTACTGAAGATAAAGATGGCGAAACTAAAACTTTAGTCCCAACTGAAGAACCACTTCCAGATTACGAAGTTGAAATTGTTGCATTAGGGTTGAAATTATTAGATGAATGGTCTGTTTTGAAAGAAGTTTTTAGAATCCCAAAAAAGGAAAGAATTGAACAGATGAAAGAACATGAAAGGGAAGCTGATAGAAAATACAAAGCAGGGTTGGGATTAGAGCAAGATTTAGAGAAAAAATATGAAAGCAGATACGGAACTATTTTTAAAAGGAAAAAGAAAATATTTACCACCTCTGATTCTAAAACCAAAGACGATCAAATGACGGTACTTGAAAAATACCATAGGAGAAAATTATTTGCACTTCAAGTAGAACAACAAGAACTTGAAAGACGAAGAAACCAACAAGAAATATGGAGGCAACACGAACAAAGATGTATGACCATGGGAACAGATCCTAAATTTACCGCGCCATTTGATCCTAATCAAGGATTAAGAAATACCATGATTTGGAATCCACAAATAAGTCAATGGCAAAACTATCCAATACCAAATACAACACCTACAAACGTGTATTATCCGGGAGTGAATCAAAATGTGATTCCAAATCAAATGCCTCCTCAAACAAATTTACCCGTTTTTCCAGGAGGTCAAATTCCGTTAAATAAACTTGTACAAACTCCACCACCAAATATACAAAATAAATCTATGTATCAACAACAGCAACAACAACAACCGCCTCAAATAATGCAGTATCGACCAGTTTTTCCTACTCAACCTATACCATATCAACAACCAGATTTAGGCGGTTATCAAGTTGGACAAAACGGAAAAATGATTCAACCCCATATGGTTGTAAGCAAACCACCTTTACCTACTTTACCATATCAAGAAAATCTTATTGGACAAGATGACCCATCACAAGTAATGCATATGTACAATATTGTATAAATAATACCTTAACGAATTTGTTTAAGGTCAAATTTATGGGTCCTATACCTCCACCAGTAAAACTCCCACCAAAATGGAAATGTGTTAAAGATAAATATGGCAGACCTTATTATTATCATATTCATATAAGAAAACCTCAATGGGAACCACCGGAATTAGTAGCTGAAGATCCCGAAGAATGTAATTTTATTAACAAAATTATTTGTAATTTCTATAATTTAACTTATTTTTTAGCTTCCGAAACTTCAAGTTCTGATACAAGTAGTCTAAGTTCAGACTCATCAAGTGAAGAAACCGATAGCGACGATGAAATCGACGATGCTCGCCTTATGCTTCAAATCAAGAACAAATTCAAAATGATGGAAGCGAATAAAGCTCAAGATCAGACTGGAGATGTTGAAATGCAAGGTGATAGTAAACCTGGGAAAGAAGGAAAATCTTTGGATAGTAGACTTTTGGAGGAAATTTTGAAAGATGATGCTCCTGTACAAGCTAAAAAAAGAAGAGCTGGATTAGTAACAGAAATATTAATAAGTGTGAGTAATTTGTTCAAAATTTGATTTTTGAATTAATAAATTAAGCCAAGTATTTATTGATTACATATTTCTTTCAGCCTAGAACAGAAGAAGATAAACTTCAATTCAAAGAAGATGTCAAACGTTATAAAGCAAATAAAGAAAAATTGAAACAACAAAAAGAAATGTTGGAGTTATCAAAAAGACAACTTGCAAATAAATCATCGGGTAAATCGGCTTCTTCGAAACCACAGAAAAAGCAAAAGTCTTCAGTTAAAGCTAAATTAAAAGAGATGGGGGATAACGAGTCTGTAAAAAAAATAAAGGAAAGTTTTCGTTCGAATATGGCCGTTATTATGGTTTCTATTTTAAATCCATACAGAAAATCGGATTGTAAAGAAGGAAGGATTACTAATACCGATGATTTTAAACATCTTGCAAGAAAGGTAATCATTATCTTTTTTTATAATTTGTTTTAATATTAATGTAACGTTTTTATGCAGTTAACACACTTTGTAATGTTAAAAGAGTTAAAACACTGCCAAAATATTGATGATTTAACAGTGACAGAGAGTGTTAAGTCGAAAGCGAAAGAATTTGTGAGAAAATACATGTCAAAGTTTGGAGAAATGTACCAAAAACCAAAGGACGACCCGGAGTTTTAAAGGAAAGTAATAAATACTCCGTCATCTCCACATCTGTGATATAATTTAGGACGTTTAACTAAAGATAAAAAAACATGTTTCTCGTGTTTTTAATAGGAAAAAAGTAGACAATTTTAGTTTGTTGTGCTGGAAACTTTTATGATTGCATGTTCGGAATATGATACAAGATGATTTTTGCCCAAAAATCATATTGTCATTTCCGAGGTTGGTATGATTTAGATTTAGGTACTTTTTGTAATAATAAAGTAATAACTAATAAATATTTTTTGGTGTAATTCAATTTATTTTGAAACTACAAACCAAAAGATTACTAAAAAAACGAACAAGAAATGAAAATTCTTCAATCAAAATAATCTTTAATATCCACATCAGGATTTAATAAATCTTCTTTGTACAGAAATAAATCCTATTGACTCAAAATAAGATTTTCCAGTTTGTTCTAAATCAGTATCTCCAATAAGAACAGCACATAGAAGAGATCAGACGGTGATATTATAGGAGGCAGTGAGCTCCAGAATTGTATGGATTAATTTGGCATAGGAAGTTCTAGTCACACTTATGCAGATGTATACGTCAACTGAATATTAAGACATGGCAGTGAAGGAAGTTTTCTTTGAGGAGGTGCAGAAACAAGTGGATATAAGAATCCAGCAGAAGAGTGTTCTAAATGGGCGATCTGAACGACAGAGTGGGAAAAATCACAGTTTTAAAAGTAAAGGCGTGCTAGGAAGCAGTACGCCTCCACTGGGAAATTATACCTCAACAATAGCGGCAGCAGAATCTTGGACTTTTGAACCAGATCACTGTGAGTAACACTTTTTACCCACATAAACGCATCCATCAGATCAGGTTTGAAAGCACTCGTTCTGCCAGTATCATTGACTACATCATAATTTCAAAAAATACAAAGAATTCTTTCAGAGATATCAGGGACAGAGCTTTCTACAAACCATCACTTGCTGGTGGCAGATACTGTACTTAAGAGAGCAAAACCGAGAAAGTAAGCTAAGTACCAGAGAATAAGATGGATGCGATTAAAAGAAGAAAAGAAGAAGGTAGCCAACTAATATCAAGAATAACTACAAGAAAAGTTGAGGTAACTGGAAATAGATGTAGTGAAAGAGATATGGAACAATCTTAGGAGGGCCATTTTGGAAGCATGTCACTATGTATGTGGAGGGAAGCTGTGAAAAGGACCAGATGAGGTCAGGCCAGCAGTAGGTGTAAAGAAGGCGGCAATGGAAGAGGATAAGACATCAACCAGAGTAGGAAGAGTACGTGCAGAAATGAAATAATTGTAAGAGAGTAGTAAAATTGGCAAAAAGAAACTCTTTGGAAGAGTTTGGTGAAAACCTGGAAAGAAACTGCTGTCAAGATAGTGGAGAACTCTGAAAGGTAGTGAGCCACACACCAGAAAAATTTGGAAGGAAAGTAAGGAGCATAAAAGACAATAATAACAGCCTGAAAGAAGAAAAGGAAGAAGAAATTCATCATGAGAAATTCAAATTCAGGGATAGACAACGGGGGGAACTGGAAACGACGGGAAAGAGATAGATTATTATTGCTACTGCCGAGCTGATGGGAGCGGCCCCTCTCGTCACCGTGATTTATAAGTTTTATTGTAACTTTAGCCCTCCAAAAGTTTAGGGCAAATGTAGGTCCTTAATGAACCTTAGTATTGCTCCAAGGTCTTGTTCCTTTATGTCGGTAGGTGTTGAAGAAGAAAAGGAAGAAGTGTTGGATGTATGGGGTCCTTATTATGAGGAGAAATTCAAGAATGGAGGACGAGGGTAACCGGAAACGACGGGAAAGAGATAGATGTAGAAAGGAAAGAATCAGCGATGAAGAAGAGCCAATAACTCTCTAGGAGGTGCAAGACGCCATCAAAAAAATGAAGAATGGAAAAGCAGCGGGGAAGGACAAAATAGTACCAAAAATGGTGAAAGCAGGACACCTGGTATTGGCCCAAAAAATTAAAGAACTCTTCCAAACGGCATGGAGACTAGGGCGGTTACCAGCAGATTAGCAAAAAAACATAATTATCCCTATACAGCGTGTCCCGTATCTTCCGCATCAGAGCATTATACGGTTGTAGAATACATTATTCTGAAGCGATCTTTCTAATAAAATTTTTTCGAAATGTTTATAATAACCGCACGGGAACTGTTTAACGACGACCAATAACGGACGACTTTGATTCATCGAAAAAGTTTATTTCTCTTTCCATGACGAATCTATTGGTGAGTACACGTGGGAAACGAGTTATCATCGGCGTAGCGAACCGGCCGAGGGTGGCACCGATTACCTGAGTCTGATTTGCGATCTGCTGATTGGACGAAAAACAGTTCCTTTAAACAGTTCCCGTGCGGTTATTATAAACATTTCGAAAAAATTTTATTAGAAAGATCGCTTCAGAATAATGTATCCTACAACCGTATAATGCTCTGATGCGGAAGATACGGGACACGCTGTATACAAGAAAGGGGGCTCGAGACGCTGTGAAAATGTATAGTAGCACTATCACTAGAACTAACACTAGACTATATCACTGAAGAAGGTTGCAACATAGCATCCGAAACGTCAAACACTTTTTCTAAACCTCAAAAATAAACGAAAAGAAACACATGGCGTGTAGTGGTGCAAAGAAAGCTTTTTGAATAAATTAACAAGGTAACAAAGAGAAGAAGACATAAATAATAATCAGAATCAAGAAGATAACAGCTAAAATAATAAACAAGATATGTTTTTTAAAAATATGTTTAATGACGCCGCTAGCTCCTGAAGATGATTGAATTTAATAATCGAAACCGGTAGAGCCGACAATATAAAAAACCATCCATCTATAAATACACATAGTTTTACTTCAATTATATTAAAATTGAGATGGAAAGAAATAACCAAACAAATATTAACTTTTTCGAAAGACGCTCGGCTTTACTCGAAAGTTTCTAGTTCTAGGTCTAGTGATAGTGCTACTATTAGTTCTAGTTTTAGTTTAATTAACAGCGGCCATGAAAGCCTTCGTACTTATATCAATTAGTCTCATGTATGTCACTGTAAAGTTATACTCCAGAATCATTGCAGAGGTGCCTAAGGATTTGCATTGAAGAAGAACTGGATGAGGAGCAGGCAGGTTCCAGATCAAGGCGACAAACACAAGATCTCATTTTTTCCCGCGCTGTATAACTGATAAATGGATCAAGAGGTCTGGAAACCATTAGAGAAGAAAGGAACTTTTCCACAACTGATGCAGGCCATCAGGTCATGTTCCAGCGAGTGGAGAGAGAAGTGAGTCGTAACGGGAAGACCTCTACTCTAGTATGATCGTCAATGGGGAAAAATTTATCCCTATTGCTATTAGTAACTTTTATGGATGGAGTGGTGAAGACATACAAGAGAAGAACAGAAATTTCAGTGAAACACAGGTGCCAGGCTCTGATATATGTAGATGATGTAGTCGTCATCGCGGACTCAGAGAAGAAATTGCAACAAGCTGTACTCGAGTGGTCAGAAACTCTAAAGGGGAGGGGCGTTATGTTGAATAAGGTAAAGTTATGGTGGTAACGAAGACAGATAGATAACAACATTCACATCGAATGTGATGGCCAACCAGATCAGCCGTTATCAATTTCTGGGCACGATAGTGCCCAGAACCAGACGGGCAAGCTTACTGATGAGATCAGAAACAGAGTGGATAAGGCTGTCAAGGCTTACTATGCCCTGAATTTGTGTGCGTTTGGAAAGGATGAAGTAAACCAGAAGTGGCGAGAGTTGATGAAACGGTCATTGAGTCTATATTTAGCTATGGCAGTGAAAGCTGGACCGTAAATACACGGGACATCAGTAAGGTTAATGCGATCCAAATAAAATGCTTCCACAGGAAAGACACGAAGGGACAGACTACGGAATAGTCGTATTCGAGGAGAGCTCAATATGCAGCCGCTCGAGAGGATGATTGAGGATATCCAGCTGTCTAGATTTGGTCGTGTAAGAAGAATGGAACAGGCGAAGATATAAGGCGATCCATAAGGAGACCAAGAACATCATGGGAAGAGACTATGAAGCAGCTCAAGGGTCTTGCTATGGAGAGGGAAACTTCAGAAGATTGATCCATGCCCAACGCCACGATAGGGTCAAGCTGGAAATTTTTATAATTACATGTTCAGAATATGATTTTTGCCTAAAAATCATATTGTCATTGCCAAGTTTGGTATAATTTAGATTTAGGTACTTTTTATAACAATAAAATAATAACGAATAAATATTTTTTGGTGTAATTCAATTTATTCTGAAACTATATAACCAAAACATAACTAACAAATACTAAAAAAAACAAACAAAAAATGAAAATTCCTCAATCAAAATAATCTTCAATATCCACATCAGGATTTAATAAATCTTCTTTGTATGGAGATAAATCCAACTGGCTCAAAATAAGATTTTCCACAGTTTCCTCTAAATCAGTATCACCAATAAGAACAGCTCCTTGTAATCGTCCATCTTGTAAAATAAACTTTGCATATTCATGTTCTTTGGTCATCCTAAATAATATTTCATAATTGTTATCTAATTTTTGTCCGTTGTATAACCCCAATAAAATAACTTTATAACCAAACAATCTGGTTGTGTGAGTAAATAATTCGAAACAAAAATCTTGGAGAATTACTTCTTCTTTATTAAAATCCCCCGACATACATTTCGCTGCATAATTTCCCATTTGTCTAGCTTGCGTCCATAACTTCATTGGAAACCAATGTTTTGAATGTTCCCAACCAGCTGAGCAACAATCACCAGCCGCGTAAATATTTGGAATTGAAGATTTCATGGTTTCATTTACAATTATTTCGTTTGATGGAGATAATTTAAAATTTGTATTCGTTTTGAATTCAATTTTTGGTTCAACCCCTGTTGCTGATACAACAAGATTACAATAAATTTCATCTCCTGTTGTTAAAATCACTTTAATGGGGTATTCTGATGAATCATCATTTAGGATATCAAAAACTTCTGATTTATAATGAATTTTTACCGAGGATGGTAACTCACAAGCACCTTTAATTTGAAAATGTTTGTACCAATCAGGACCTAAAGCAGCCCCTGATTTATATGTAGCATCTTCTTCATAACGCATTCGTTTATTAGGTATGGGTTCTAATAAATCCGGTTGTTTTTGATCTTTCTTAAGAGATGGTTGAAAAAATTCTGATGCACCGGGATCAACAAAAGTTGCTGTTATGTGATTATCTTTAATAACCCATTCAATTTCAGTGTTTTGTATTTTATAAACAAGTTCGGATGCGATTCCTCCATTACCAACAATGACAACTTTTTTAGATTTTGCTAATTTTTCAGCAAATACATCTACTGAATCTGTATCTCTTATACCAACAACAAATGGGTTATTTTTAGCTTGAGGTATTAATTTTGGTTTTGCTCCGTAGCATAAACATAAATATTTATAATTAATTTTAATATTTTTTGAAATTATTATGAAATTTTCAACATCATTTATTTCTAACAAACTTCCATTTAAAACGTTTACATTTTGATACTTATTAGTTAAAGAATTAGTTGTGGTTTCTTCAATGTTAAAAGAAGTTATTGATTGAGTTATTGCAAGTAAATTAGTAACTGTTTTAATTAATGATGATTCACTTATTAAAATAATTGATTCATTTGGTTCATAATAAGCCAAAGTTTCTGCACAACTTACACCTGCAATTCCACCCCCAACAATTACAAAAGTAGCTTCCATTATTACTTATACTCTGAATAATTGTATTTACGAAAAGGTACATCAAACGTTATCAACCCTTTATCTCTAGCTCTATCAATAGCAACTAATAATTGTTGATGAGATTTTCTGCACAAACCCGTTTTTGATGTGTCTAAAACAACTTGCGTATGCGGACAAATAAATTGATTCAATAATTCGATGTTGGTTTCGTTAAGAACCAAATACTCATCTCTGCATATTGGGCAAGGATTTCCAGTGCTTATTTGCCCCTGGCGAATACAAGTCCTTCTGGTGCGTCTAGGTGGAATCGATCCTTTATGATTTCTTCTGTACAGAACCCAAACGGGTTTACCCCCATAAGTTTGTTTATATGCGTCACTTTTTAAATACTCCACGCTCGTTTCAACTGGTACCTCTTTAGTTCGATCTTTGGTGATGTTTCGAAAAACTGCTGAAATCGTTGGGGCCGATTCCGAAGGTTTTATCGGGGTTGTACTAAACGCTCGGCGCAAAATGGGATTTGCGATTAAATTTGATCGAAAATACGAAGATAACATAGTATTTTTGGTTAGGAAATAAATGACAAACGAATCTAACCTCACTATTTGTTTTGGGGATAAACTAAAAAAGTAAAAGTTCCTAAAGTAGTTTTAGATTTTAAATTTTTTTTAATATAAAGTTTAAAAGGTAAGTTTTTATTTAAAAGTTGATTTTATGTATTATTATAGGTTCGTAGAGTAATATACTATATACATGTCAATAACAAAAAGTGCAGTCCTTGACAGTTGTGCGTTCCAGTTTCCAGTCTTCTGCGCGTGCACATCCCTCTCGCATTTCCTTTCCCTTTTCTGGAAGGTTAGTTTCCAATTAGATAAATATATTGCCTGCAAAGCAAGTTTTTCAAATACTTGATCCTCAAATGTATCCTTCTGTATCATTGTTATGCCCAGCGTTGTTTGGTTTTTGGAATCACTTTAAATAACCTTCATAATGTTACTCATATAATTATATTATATAGATTGCTTCTTTGTTTGCTTGAAAGGTCCAGTTCTTCAGCTTATGTGTTATAATTCCCAATCTATGACATCTACCTATTATAGATAAATTAGGCTGCCACCAATTAAGTATCTTGAAATACCATCTTATTATAGAATCGTTTTTAACCAACCAGATGATTCGAGTTCAATCTATGATATTCATGGAGTAATTTCTAAAATCTATCCAATTCTTCTATTTAATAGGCAATAAATTCGTTCCAAAAAAGACCAACGAAAAATTTTACATAAATCGCTCAAGCATCAATGCTTGAGATTCACTCATTAACATCAGTAGTGAGACATTACTTTATATACCCATTTCTGAACCAGATGGGAAATAAGGTTAATATCCTGTGCTACGCAGATGATGCGGTGCTGGTCGCGGAAAACGAGGATGATGTCCAGAGGTTACTGTTCCAGTTTAATAAAACAGTTTAACATGACTATATCAGCGGCAAAAACAAAATGACTACCTCCAAGACACCAATCAGATGCAAGCTGGTGGTCGATGATAAAATCATACACCAAGAAATGAAATTAAAATATTTGGGCATTGAAATATCTGGTTATGGGAATATTGAGACCGAAGTAAGGAATCAAGCTGCAAGAGCGGCAAGGACAGCGGCGTATCTAAATGCCACAATATGGCGAAATAAGCATATTAGAATTGAAGCCAAAACCCGGATATACAAGACCACAGTTAAACCTGTATTAACATATGAAGCAGAGACTCGACCAGAAACATCCAAAACAAAAATACGAGAAAATTTAGAAATGAAAAACGTGCGTAGAAGAAATTGGGAAAACATTGATGGACAGAGAATGAAGTGAGAACATCAGACAGACTTGGAGGATAGATAACATCAATGATTGGGTATTGGGCAGAAAGAAGAAATGGAGTGAGCACATCGATGAATGACAGAGGAACGAATTGTAAAAATAACACCATCAGGACGAAGAAGCATTGGAAGACCTAGAAAAAGATGGAGCGACAACCTATTAAACACAGAACCAAACAAAACGCGTGATGATAGTCCTGCTAACTTCTAAAGTCTACTACCATGTCCTATAATTCTGCAGGTTCATGGTCAACCTCACTATTAATTGATAAATCTGTCGTAATTTGTACCTTTGTTAAATGAGTTGGCAAAAACAATAAGTGATAACAAATTATTTGAAAAACTAAGTAGACCTGCGTCAGACATAAACCCAAGCTAACAATCCTTAAAAAACAAGTTAGTTAACTAGTTTTCTGTAATACATTTCGCTTATAGTGAGATATTTTCGATAACTAATGTCCATATAATTAGGCTAGCCGCATGAAAGATAAAGTCATCACTTGGTTATGAAATATTCTTGTTGCAGATTTTTCTTCACTTGTTTGTATCAAAAAAAGGAATAGGTCAAGAAATTCGTACTTCTTACGTTTATGCTTAACACCTTTTCCAAACGTCTCTACGTTTTTGAAAGAAGGTCCCAAATTTTTCTATCATTTTTCAACCCAACCTAAAAGTAACATTTTATAAATAGTTCCTTTTAACAAGTATCTTGCTACAAGGAACAGTTTGCATTCCGCATTTCTACTTGGTGCCACGACTGTAAGAGAATTAGTAAAAGATAGCATTAGCTTGCGATGTCTTTTGAAAACGTCTTGATTTCATTTATATGAAGAAAACAGCACTGAGGATTGGTTGAAAACAGCAGAAGAGTTTTACCAACGAACTAATTTTTCCAAATGCATTAGAACTGTTGATGAAAAACACATTTGTTTGAAAAACCAAACAAAACTCAAGTGTATGGAGTTCGCCAAATGAATGTTGGTGTTGAATGTACTTTCAGAATTCTCCCAGAAGTGGAGGATATTTCATTGAAAGCTAAACACAAATCTGGAGTATAGTCAGGAATCATGGCAAACATATGAAACAAAATGAGAGCAAAAAAGCTTAAGATATTCGTAGATACTGTGCTAAATATTTTACATCACCACAAAATTCTGTTTCCTGGCAATAAGTATTATTAAATAATTAATCAAATAAATAATTCATGCATTAAAGTAACCCAAAATGGACTATATGTAATATGTAAAATGGACTATATGTAAAAGTATGTTTATTTTATAATAAAAATATAAAAAAAACGTTATTCATTAACATATTACTGTTTCATCAATATTTCACAGATTTTCAACCATAATTTTTGGGTTTACTTAGCAATTGCTATAATCTTTATACATATTTTTATCATAACTTTTGGGGCATCCTTCAACCAATGGAATTAATTCTTCACAATCAATATCAATTTTGTCCATTTGGGCGCAATGCGTCTGGTTTACTTAAGTAGTATATGATCATCTGATACAATCAAATTCATGTATGGCCTGCCATATAAATTTAAAGAATATTGTAGCTAGTTAGTTTGATCTTCAGCTTTCATGCACACCTAACTTTAGACTATCTTTAGAATTAAAGGATCTAGGTTTTCTTGGTTGTAATCATGGATAATATCCTTGTACTTTGACATTGTTAAAAACTTAAAATTACTTCCTACAAAGTACCAATAAAAAGTGTGTGATCTTAGTTAATATATTCACAGTGCTACAAAACTTCAAAGAATTACTGTATTTATTAATTTCATAATGCTGCTAATAATTATGATCCCAAAAATAACTCATTTTTTACTTCCATAGTTTGACATGTAAACATAACCTTAAAAAATTTTTTGACGTTCAATACAAATTTTATTCTTCTAAAGGCAGCATTTCATTTTGTTATATTAATTAAATTTACAATTTACAATATGTTTAATTTTCTTTTTTCCAATTCTTATTATTTAATGTTTATTCTAGTTTTAACAAAAAAATTAAAAATTATGCTTAATTATTAAAATGGAAATGATTTTCATTTTTGGTCAATAAATCAACATTAAATACAATAAATTAATTATTATTATTGTAAATATATTCATAAAAATTGTTTAAAAATACAAAAGAAAGTAAATTCCAATAAGTAGAGAACCTTAAAATTAGAGAAAGTAGAAATTAATTAACGACCGCGTGAGTCAAAATAAATTCCAAATAAACAATGCGAAAACACTAAAAATAGATAAATAAATATGATTTATTAAAAATTAATTTATAAAAAATTTTATTTAAATTTTATAATACCAAAGTGGTTGTAGATGTTTTAAAAATTGCGTTTTTTATTTGAAAATGTATTCAATTTGACGGGTATTGTGTGGAGTGCGGTTGGTAACCCTTGAATTCTTGATGACGTTTCACCATTTCCGTCTTTGCATGGCAGAAGTTCAGCTGTCTTGCTTCTCTCGTGCAAAAATATAGCGAAAATAATCATAATTATTACTATTTATATTCTTAATTGTTAGTATATTGGCTAATACTAGTTTTTGGAGGTAACAAGAACGTTGAATTAGGCGCGTTCAACTTTCTTGTAATAGGGTTTCGTAAGCGTTTGAGAAATTAGACACGTCACGCATCTGGAGAACGTCGTCGGGGCGTCGGCCGCCATGGGCTTTATTCGTTAAAATACAAAAAAAGAGTAATTTGTTCATAATAATTTTGCTTTAAAATATAATTTTCCTTTCGTTCAATTCTGTCCATATTGTATGCAATATGTGATTTATCCCCGTTTTTGGTGCTTTGAGGACTGACAAAAAATGGTAAGGATATAGGACGATATTTTATTATTACATATTTACTTTTATCGTTATTGATAAGTAATAACTAAGCGCTATTAACGTGTAGTGAGAGATTTTTTGCGATAATTATTCCTATAAGAATAAGAAAAAGCTATAAAAACCCGATGACGCCATCTTCCGGTTTTAGGCGGGAAATTCAAATTCTTTCAAAGTCATCGAACGTTTTCATTATTTTTCAGCCGCGAATTGATCCCCTTCAACTACTCAATTGTCTCACGGTTCTTTTGAATCCCAACGGCGGTATTTTATCAAAAAATGAGGTCCAGAGGTTAGCAAGGTAAGATAATAAATTGAAAAAATAAATAAAATATTTTGACATAATGAGTAATCTTTTTAACAGTTTAATGACAAAGTTCTCTAAGAAATTAGTGAGCAAGTGTGTGTATATCCTTATATTGAAGAGCACAGAAACGCAGCTTTTGGGGCAGTTTATGCTCGAAGGAGGTTGGAATTTAGTTCATCTTTGGATGCAAGATGGAATCAACAATCAAAATTGGCCTTTAGTGAAGGAACTTCTAGAACTTCTATTGATGGCCCCCACAGACATTGAGCAGCTCAAAACCAATAATTTGCCCAAATTGGTGAAATCACTTACGAAAAGAGATGACACATACAGTAAGTTGTTTTTTATTTATGTGGTTTTTAAGTTGGATTTCAAAAATTTGTCTTGGATATTCACTTATTGGTGCTGGTTTAATGTTAATTAAAGATTCATGACAAATTTCATGCAAATTCTTTAAAAAAATTAATTTTATTTTTGGTAAATGCATAAAACGTTATTTTTTTCTTATTCAAACAGACATATGTGAGCTTTCTAATGAATTGGTAGAAAATTGGTTAAAAATAGTTAAAGACAGTCAAAATAAACCACTTTCCACAATCCCCAATAACAATATTTTATCAACAATCGGCGGATTTGAAGAATTAACAGGAGTGAGACCTCAACAAATAGTTGAGAATCAAGAATCTGAGGAGAGTCCTGAAAAAATAGAAACATTAAAAATAGTAACGGTGAAAAAATCCGATGACAAATCACAATCAGAGAGTTATAAAATAGCGTTAAGAGACGGAAAAGCAGTTTTATGCAAAATATCAAAAGTTGAATCGAATGAAAATGCTTCAAAAGATTCAACTTCAAGTACGAGCGGGGAGGAAAGGATAGAGGATGTAAAAACGGAGTTGGAAGATAAAATTGATGGGAAAAAGAAGGAATCTTTAGAAAAGAAAGAAAAATCAAATCATGATAGGCATAGAAGTAAAAGTAGTTCAAAAAGTAGTAGTAGTAGAAAAGATAGGGATAAAGATAAAGAGAAAAGTAGAGATAAATCGAGTTCACAAAAAAGTTCTAGTTCTAGCTCAAAAGATAGAAGTAAAAACGATAAACATAGAAGTAACGGTGTAAAGAGTAGCTCAAAAAGTTCTTCGAGTTCCAGTTCTAAAGATAAGAAAGATTCTAAAGAAAAACAAGCTGAAAAAGATAAAGATACATTAACGAAAATCCAACCTCAAGCTTTACAAAAAATCGGCAGGATACCGAAAAAAGATGAAAAATCAAAAGATGAAACAAAAAAACCAACGTTTTCGATTGAAGTTCGTAAAGGAACCGAAGATAAACCAAAAACCGTTAAAGTTTATAAAGCTAAAATGCGATCAACAGGTTTATTAGACGAACCAAAACCACCCCCACCAAGAATACCCAAAAAAACGGTCGCTCCAATACCAGCAAACATTCCACCACCGAAGAGGCCATCACCAATTAGAGAAACGATTCCCCCACCAGAAAAGAAATCAAGATTAGACCCATCAGAACGACCTGGATCAATAAAATTAATTCCTCCAAAACCCAAACGTAAGTTAACTGAGAATTTTATTGACTTAAATTTCATGTTTCAGATTCCAACCTCAAATTGGAGGATACGTTTGTGGAAAAGCGGCTCTTCTCTTCATGGAGATTGCACACAGTTCGAGGATTTATTGAATTTCTTTCTATTCTAACCTCAACAAAACAAAATAAGCAACACAAGTTTGAAGCGATCATTTTTTTTTCTTTATTTATTATGAGAAGTTGAAGTTGGATAATAATAAATAGTTTATTTATTTTTATGTGATAATTTAGATCGCGAACTATAGGGATTTTTTTATATAAAAAAAATAATGGTCCAAAAAATCTTGTTATAAAAATTAATAGATTAATAAAACCTTATTTTAAAAACAACTCCTTGATTTATTTTATTACATCAGCACTTTTTCGTCTTGTTTTGACCTATTTTTTTAAAGGAGACTGTTCAATTTCCAAGGTTAAAAAGAATTATTGCTTGGTAAATTGACGAAATTCTTGATGGTCGAGAGACGATTGTATGTTATGTAATAAAATAAATTAGAAAAGAAATGGAGCAATCTTGGGCCAATTTTCAAAACAAACTAATCTTTATGTAAGTAGTAGTCATTCCTTAAAATATATAAAAATAATTAACATGAATTTATTTAAATTAGGTAAAGGTGATTAAATATCAAAACAGAAAATGATAAGAACAGGCTTTAGTTTAGACTCAAATTAGTTAAAAAGTTAAGAATAGGTTGACTTCATTTTAGTCATGGGTACAGAGTATCATGTTTAACTTTCAAGATCAAAATAGATTTTCAGTTTATCAAATTAATTACTTGTATACTAAGACAATGCTGGTTTACGACGTCTTATATACAATATTTTTTGGGCAATTTAAATCAATTACTTATTATTATATAGAGCGCTTGAAATAAACCATAAAATAGGTTCATTTAATTGATAGTAGAAAATCGAAACAAGAGTTAATGACATAAAAAAACAACTATAATTTCGTCTTCAATCACACATGCAATGATTAAATTAAAAAAATTAGTGTTATAAATTAACATAATTTTAAGCAAATCAGATTGTGAGGTTTAAAATCTATCATATATAGAGTAGAAGGAATATTAAACGCATGAAATTCTTGATGCTGATCTACAGGAAACAGGAAATGTAGCGGAAGGGCTCAAAGTAAAATAAATTATTAAATTTCGTAAGTTTTAATTTAACTATAATTTTTATTATTTATATATATATATTTTTTTAATTATTTCTATTAAAATTTTCTTAGTGATGAAAATCATAGAAATTGTTTATTATATATTAGCATTTTATAGTCCCCAGATAAACTCCCGTTAATCTTGAAGTAACTTCTAAGAATTGATATCACAACAATTGTTGGATGAAAGAATGTTGGTGTAATGCGTACATTAAATTTAATTTTTTTTTGCTTCGCGGTTTTTTTTTATCGCCAGTTAAATGAAAAAAGAACTAAATTCTTTACGTTGTCAACAACTTTAAGATTTTTTTCATTGACGATCTTACAAAAAAAATTTAAATATATTAAAGACATTTTATTTTATTCCGGTCTGCGTAAATTCTCGCTGAAAGTGCCGATTTTTCAAAAGGATGCTATCCTCAACTCATTTCAACACGGTTTTGATGAATTACAATACGTAACAATAGACTTAAACAATAAATCAGATTTTTTTCGGATTGGTTAAGGTTTTGAATTTGCGAGGGGTGTAGTGCGGTTAAAAGGGAGTGAGGTTCCCCGTACTTTGATTTAGTTCCACAAGTGAGGCCTTACCCTAACCTTTTTTAAACTGTGGTACTTTCTACATAATCTTTTTTTTTCAGTACATTACTTGATTTTATAATGTTTAAAATTAAACCTCAAAGCTATTTCAATAACGTATCCTTGAAGATAATTCATTATCAAACATAAGTCAATACAGTATTTGTTCATAAAGAGTTTCCATTGAAAAATATGATTAAAAAATGAAATATATAGTTTCCATATCAAAAAAGTGTCTTAAACTTTAATAATTTTTGAAATAATTTTCTTATAAAATTCCAAACAGACTTATTTAAATTTCTTTATTGAATTCATTTTAGTTTTGCCTATATTCGTACGACAACAATTTTCAGTTTTATGTATGTCATGTTCTCTTGAGTTTTGGTACAAATTATCTTCTAAAATTTTTAAACACATCTTAACTACATATCTTCAATTAAACGGAATCTTCTTTGTCATTCTAAATCGTGCAGTTCCAAACCATGGTAATAATTTCCTACATTTTTTACTGTACTTTTCTAATTGTTTTTTCAATTTTTCATTTGGTTGCCATCCAACTATTTTACATCCAGACGAAGAGCTCAACACTTGCTGCTTTTTTCACTATATTTTTTGCGAAGTTGTCTTCTAGGTTCGATGATCTTTCTCCACTGCCTCAAGAGCTATAGCATAAAACTTCCTACAATTGTTTATTTGCTGTAGAATTTGTTTCTTTGAACTTCTATAAACTGTCATTCTATCAAACAGTACTTCTTCTTCCTTTGGCAAAACATCAACAAGCTTATTGCGACTGCGAAGTTCGTGCTCTTTTGGGGTTTGTGATAAGTACTGATCCATACAATCAGATGTGAGCAAATAGTTTATTGACTTGTATTTTTTATTTTCAATAAGTATAAAAAAAGAAACATTTTTATATTGACCACTGCATGCCACAAGATATAGTTTTATCAAAACCATGTTGATATCTGTTGAGTAGTCTACAGTAAAGTAAAACATAAAATGTACTTAACATTTTTTTTGCCAGATTTTCATTTAATTCGCTATAAAAGAAAAATTTTGTTCCAAATTCATTAATGTTATTCAAAAATATTCAGTGAAGACAAACTTCACCACAACCTTTTTCATGGTATGATTGCCAAGATAGAATTTTTAATTTATACCAAGATCTATTTAACGGGAATTTATCTAGTGGCTGTAAAACCGGCACCAGTACACCCATTTTGTGCAATATCAATAGGTATTAACGTCTTTATTTATTATTGTGCTTGAATATTTAACGATGTTTAATCACAGGTGTACTATTTATTATTGTTGATTTAATATCAATATTAGAAGTCATTTAGAAATAAATTAATGTGAAATAAGTCAAATAAGAATTCCATGCATTTCGGTTTTCTTTAAACTTTAAACATAAATTTTAAACCTCGCACAATATAAGAACGTAAGAGACAATCTTAGAATTTATGATTCTATTAATCATGTTATGTTAGATAAATTTTTATAATTTAATCATTGTTGTAGTGCCTGAACAAGTAAATATGTAACCAGTTCGCCCACGAAAGGAGTGTGTCAAATCAGACAAATTAGCAGTTTTTTTATTCAGTTTTAGCAAACTTGTTTATATACAATATTAATTTGAAAATCAATCAACATGATTGCAATATGAGTTGTGCAGAACGAGGGATATATTTTATTTTTAGCACAATATAACATTTGTTTATAAGATATTTAGACGTGTTTCAGAAATGCCCGCCGAGCCTTCGCTAGCTGAAACGATCCGCTTAGATCCAATTTGTATTACAAAGATGCTTATTCTAAGAAGAAACGAAGAAGATGAGAATCCAACATCGAATCTTGATGGAGTGTTTAGGGTAGCGAAGGCTTGGTGATAGTTTCTTAATCAAAGAAAACTCGAATTTGTCACATTCATACATAGATTTTTTTGATTTAATTAGGTAACTATTATTTCCAGTATTAATTAACCTTGTTATATAACGTTTTGTACATTTTTTAACGTTTTTTAACGAGATCACAAAAATAACAATATACAGGGTGTCAGATAAAAAACGCCTCAAGCTGTAACTTTGTGATTTATATTCCGGTTTTCTTGAACCAGGTACCTAATGAAATGATATAAATACTACCTTTTAAGCTGCAAATAAAAATTTCCAGTGCCATCTATGGTATCTTGCGATAATCAAAACACAATTATCATTAATAGTAATTAATTAAGTAATTTACACGTTTCCTTAACTTTTGATTCTTGCTTAATTCATTTTTAATCAAAAAACATGAATTGTAATGAACTTATTGGTATGCTACAAGTTTATTTGAATGCAGAAGAAACTCTAATGATCATGGCAGGCTACTCACTAAAACATTTTTGTTGTTGCAAGACGTGGTTAATAAATGTTGATGTTAGATACAAAAAAAATGTCTCTATATGAAAAACAAAAATTTGTCTAATGCAAGATATCATAGATGGCGCTGGAAAGATTTTGTTTGTAGCCTAAATATAGTATTCATGATACCATTTCGTTTTGTACCTGCTTCAAAAAAATCGGAATATAAATTTGAGAATTGCAGCTTGGGACGTTTTTTATCTGACTGAATATGTTATACAGGGTATAACATATTCTTTCTTTTTGATAATATGTATTTATATTAAAAATGCAATAGTACATATCAGAGAGAAAATACATCTTTTAAAATGTTATTTTTGTGATCTCAACAAGTTTTTTGACGATACATTAACAAAAACAAATATTCCACATTTTTTATACACATCAGCTTCATATAATCCAATTTTCAAATCATTTTGTGATATACTATTTGAGAAACAAAATGGCAAATAATAAGCAAAAAATTTCACTAATCATAACAAATATTTTTTTTCAATAAACAGTTCTTAAAGTGAGTTGTTTTTCCCATTTGCACACTTCAACGATAAGATATATTCCAGTATTAATACACCGATATAGCGAATGGAACTTTTTTGGTTATCAATCAAATTATTTTCTTGTTTCGATTTTTTATCCAAGAAGATGCGAATATTTTCTCAGATTTATTTCTAGCCCGAGCGCTCAAAATAATTATCAATTAGGTGCCAACTTTAAATCGGGGCCTTGTTCTGAAACTGATTTAATAAGGAATGATTTTTATGCCCCGAAAGAGAAATTATGAATATATCTAGTTGCTCAAATGCATATTTATTAGCAAATTTAATAATTCAATTAATTTGAACATTTTTTATAATACAAGAAATTATTAATTAATTTTTTAATATATTTTTCTAAATTATCTTTGTTAGAGTATCCCCCAAATCGCTTCATGCAAACACAACAATGAAACATATTGGACATATTCTTTTATTTCCCTCTTAAATCAATCATATGCATAATAGTTTCGATATTAGTACAAAAAGAGTTAGGTTGGGCTAGATTTTTAGTAAAAAAGCTTTCAATGTAGTTCTAATGCTCGTTCTAATGTAGGATGATTTGCTCAAATTCGATAAACTTCAAAAAATCTTATCGTCAGCGAATTACCTTCTCAAGTTTGTTGAATTCGCAGCAAATCACTCTATAATATAGGATGCGTTAAACTTATAATATCAAAGTTTAAATTAAAATCAATATATCTCAATTTTAGATTTTTGGATAGGTTTTTAGATCAGATAGAAAATAACAATAGATTGGGGTTGGGTTGGGTTCTCAATCATATATTTTTATAATTTTCCCAGAAATTTAGTAGTTTTAAACGTCCCAATAGTTTAGGACTCATCATTTCAGTCGCATATATCAAGTAAAATCGTCCCATTTCTATACAATTAATAACTTTATTTGACCTGTGCGACTAAAATAACATGTTCATAACCAGTTAAAAACACTTCTTAAAGCAAATACAAGCTTAATTAGAAAAAAAATCAAAAATCCATGTAGTTCTCATCTTCAACTATAACTGGCATCATCTGAATATTTAATTAATATCTAATTCTATTTAATCATTCATTTAAAATTGAATTTTGCTGATTTCCATTATTGAAAACACTTTTTACATAAACCAGAAACTTTTAATCGATCAGAAGATTTTCAAATTCTCAGAAAAGCAGCTTTTTCAGATACATCCAAAATTAGCAATAAATTTTCAAATCCCCAAAAAGAATTAAATCAATCCAACTTTCTATCTTCCAGCAACTAATCATCACTTCTTCAACTTCATCAACATAAGAAGTATTTAAAAAAAAAACCGAAAAAAAATTTATTTTGAAAAGTGCGATTTAACTACAAGAACGTGCTTTAATAATATAAATACGTAGTGTTTGTTGTTTATTATAGATGGCGTGTAATTTGGTAAGTCGTAACTGTACAGGTTATTTTTTGCTCTTGTATTTATAAAATAATAAAGCAAAACTTGGAAGAGATAATTCTAGTTTTTAGGTGTAGGTCCTGATCCTTCCTCGCGCGTTCCGCATCGATTTTTACGGCGCGTTTTCAAATTTGGCGGCGAAGATTTACGAATATATACGAGCGTAGACGGGGTCGACTCGGATGATTCAAATTTGTTGTTATCACATTTTCTTTTGCAAAACACTTCCTTTTGATTTGTTCGAAAAAAGTATTTTAATTTATCGACAAATTTGATATAAAACTTGAATGAAATTAACGATTTCAATTCCATAAAAAGTTTTTATAATTAAATACATTGAAATTGATACAACTAATAGTTATGAAATATAATATGTATGCTTACATATCTATTTTTTTATATTGAAGCTATACAAAAAGCTATTCTGGATGACTCATTACAAAAACGTAATTAAAAAAAGTTATCACTGAAGATAAGAATCTAATCAATAAAATCTAAGAACTGTGCAAGAACCGCTTTTCCATCAACGAATTAAATTTCCGTAAATCCCCTAAAATTCAAAATTTTTAAAATTTTTCTTTTTTTCATAGCAGCCGTTTTACAAGAAAGCGACATATTCATGGATGCCTTAACTGCGTCGGCGAATTCAAAGAAAGAACCCAAGAAAAGAAAACGAAGAGCAAGTGTAAGCAAAGATACACCATCCTCTCCGTCTGAAGAAACTCCTACAACTCCAACCACACCAACGACATCACTAATAACTCCTGCCAATTTCTATCAAGATACTTTGAATACAGAAAATGGTGATAAAGAGGGAAAAGAAGATACAAAAGATGAGGATGGTTCTGCAACGCCAACGGACGCAGAAGAAAAAATGGATGTCACCGAAAATAGGGATCCCACAGAACTAAGAGGGGTTTTGGTGCATGTAAAGAAAAAAGGACCAAAAAGATCGATTAGATGGAAACCGGATGCTGAGTTGGTGGAGGTGCAATATTTCGAATTAGATGAAACGGAAAGAATAAATGTGTATAAAACATTTGGTGAAATGTCAAAAATGGAAATGTGCGGCGAAAGGCAAGCTTTACAAATGTCGAGGAATCGACAAAGTCTTCTTGACGACAACATGGAACCAAAAACAGCTTGGAGACTTCTCATCGAAATTGATGTAAAACCCGCTTTAGTTGAGCCAGGGTTAAAAAGTTTAGAAAAAGATATTCAATTTGCAAGGGAAAAAACAACAATTTCACTTCCTCCATTTTTAAGATTAACGGACACTCCAGCAGAACCCGACCCGGAAGTGCATCAAAGGACAGATCCTATTCCAATACCATTAGAAGATCCCGAAAATGGCGAATCTGCTGATACGACGGTTCAACCGTGGCCAGAACCAAAAGGATCACCCCCTCATGTTCCCCAAGTTCCTCAAATCTTCCCAATGCAACAAACGTTTCCAAACTTTAACATGCCAAATCCTCCTCAACAATTCCAAAATCCACCGTTTACACCTAATTTTATGCCACCGAATATGATGCAAGGAAACATGAATATGGCAATGAACGGGCCAAATATGATGCCGAATATGCCACCGGAAATGATGAACCCACAAAATATGTTTGTTGGTCCAAAACCAGATAACTTCAATCAACCCGAATTTAATCAATTCAATCAAAATCAAAATATGATGTTTCCGCAAAATAATTTTAATATGAGAGGACGAGGTGGTTTTAGAGGACGAGGGGGAATGGGAAACGGTCCTTGGGTAAGAATGAATGGACCTGGACCAGGAGCGTGGAATCAACGAGGAGGTGGTGTAGGAATGCCACCACGTGGTGCCCCTCCCGGAAGAATCTGCAAAAACGTTCGTAATCACGGCTACTGTAGAAACAGCAACAATTGCCCTTTCTTTCATCCTAATTAATTTCCTATGGAAATGTGGAGCTGTTGTGATATTGTGTTTATTTATTTTATACTTCCATTCTTTTTTCTTTCATAGTGCAAATATACAGAATTACAGACACTTGCAATTTATAATAATAATTAAGCAATTAAGCGATATCTGTATATATAATACTTGTAAATTGAAAACTATGTTTTTTTAAGCATTTTTTATTTTTATGATACAATTAGCATGGTAAAATTTGTTTGTAATATACGCAATTAATGTTAATAAACTTTATGATTATATATTTTGATAAGGAAGTCATTTTGATGGCATTAAAGGACCCCTTTCAATTTTATAAAACATTTCCTGTCCAATAAATAGTTAAATGTATCATTATAACAACGTGAATAGACCTGGTAAGATATTTTTGTTTAACTTTTAAAATAATTAAAAAGAAATTAGTGTTAATTTGACATTGAGGTGAAATAATTATGTCAAATTTTGTTATTGATTTAATGAACGTTATTAATTTAGTTTCAATTTCAATAATAATTGATTTATAAATTTATTTCTTCAATTTAATTTGATTAATTTGTAAAATATCCCACAAAATAGAATTAAGAATCAGATATTAAAAATTTCTTTTATTGCAAAAGTGTTAAATTATCAAAATTTACCTTAAATATGATTTTTGTTTCAGTATTTCTTGTCGAAATTAAACAATAAATTTATATTTGATTTTAATTTTTGTTGAATTTAAAATCAATAAACAAAAACAGCGCCATCTAACGATAATCATCAAAACTTAAAGAACTGTCAAGTGTGACATTTCTCCTGTCATAATGAATACTTTCAAAATATAGATTTCGATTGCTTTATTGAAGAGTAAAAATATCTCCTGTATATAATCAAAATTGCGCACGCAACGAACTTCACTCGGTCGAGACAACAAAAAGACCTGTTATGTGTTCGCTCGTGTTTTTATCGTTAAAATACTTCCAATGACCTGGTCGTTCTCGTTAAAATTGTTTAGGTGACAGAGGTTGGCACACAAACAGGTAATTTACGTTCTAATACTATCATGTGAATTCATATGACGTACAAGTACTATTTCTAACTGATATAAAGTCCTTTGTTCAGTAGTTCGCATAATGCAGGAGTGGTTTTTTCTCGAAGACCCAAACAACGATTTGATAAGACACGCTAAACATACCTTGAGCGAAATGGGAGAAAGTGAGGAAGAATCAGAGGAATCTATAAAGTATAGACCATGGTTATTTCGGATATGTGTGCCTCCACTACAACCAGATGAAGTTGTTTGTGTCATTGGAAGTACTCCAGAACTTGGAAGTTGGGAACCAGAGAAGTGTAAACCACTAGTAAAAGGTCGTAATGACGTTTGGTCAATTAAATTAAAAGTCCCCATTAACCAAAGGGTATTTTACCGTTATTGTATTTGCATTATTATTGAGCCGGAAGTAAAAGTTTTAATAAGATCTTGGGAAACTAATATAAATCCTCGCATAATTAAACCCGAATGCCCAAGCCCAAAACCAACAACACCATGCCAGACTTATGGTAATTACGATGAAGAAATCCATATAGATAAAGGCTGGTTAACAGAAGGAACAATAACTATGTTACAATTAACTAAGAATCCATTTAAATTGTTTAGACCTCGTTTTCAAGATCGTACAATTTATGTTAAAATCACACCTGTAAGTTTAGTAAAACACTATCCAAAAAAAGTTATGGATTGTCAAGAAGAATCATTAAGTGTTGATCATATGGAAGATAAGCCAAAGTTTAGTTATGTGGAAGTTGCTGAATTAACATCTGATTCAGACTATGAATTTGTACCTCAAGGTCAATTTGGACATAAATATGTATCAGGAGACTTTTTAACATTTAAAATATTCCTTGTAAATCGTGAAACCACCGCATTTTTAATTGATTTTTACATATACAGTTCAAAAGCGATTGATGATGAACCACCTTATCATGCAGGATTCACTTATTTATTACCTGGGGCTGTAGAACACACGAAAGGTAGTGTTGTTTTGCCTTTAACTAGCATGAAACAAAGACCATTGGGCGAATTGAGATTAAATTATCTTGTTATCAAACCCTTGGAGAATTTTAATTGTAACATGGAAGTTAGTTATCAAAGATATTGGAATAAAGATCGAACTGGGTTGAATATTGGACATAGAGGGTCTGGAAATAGTTTTAAAACTGAAAACTGCGCTGATATTAGAGAGAATACCATCGCCAGTTTAAAAACTGCGATCAATGTTGGGGCGGATTTCGTTGAGTTTGATGTTCAATTAACAAAAGATTTGGTACCCATTATTTACCACGATTTTTATGTGTGTATCGCGACGCATAAGAAAAAAAATCTTGAGGATACCGATATGTTTGAACTTCCATTGAGGGATTTAACTTCAGAACAATTAACAATGTTAAAGGTAATTTTTTAAATAATAATGTGTGATGTTTTATTTCATAAAAATGAATAAGTGGAATTTGAAGTGGTTTTTCCAGACTATAAAGTTACATAACAACATAAATATGTTTTGCAATCTATTTTTAAATTTTATTATTAGTTACTTAATGTCTTATCACACAATTCTTTTAAATCAAGATTATAAATAGAGGTCAGGCGGACGTATTGAAACGTTCTTCAAATATTTTTCTTCTGTTTATACAGGTGTTTCTGTAAGTCATGGCATAATTTTAATCACAAATACTACAGTAGATATGATGTCAATTCATGTAAAAATTTTTGGTCTAAACCCATAAATGGTTAAAATATGCGCATTTAAAGACATTTTTAAACATTTTCTTAAATATTTTCAATGTGGTTTGTCTTAGAAAGATTAAATTTCCACACAGTGCAATGTTATTAACCCGTTTTTGCCCGAATTATTATTTTTTTAAATTTTTTTACAGTTTTTAATTGATATTGGTTACATGAAAAGTATAAAAGCATAATATTTATACAGTGTGTCCCCGGATAGGTGAAACGACTCTTATAAAAGGTAAAATTTTTTCGATATTAATTGTCATCTTTTGGGGTTTAGCCCTGCTTGATTAACGACTAATTTTGAACATATTATCAATTTTTAAAAAACAAGTGAGCCTTGACAGTGAAAGAAAAACTCTTTTTGTGGCATTTAAAGTACCTTTTCTGTTTACAGTACGTGAAATTGTTACTAAGAAGTTTTGTTCAGAATGAAAAACTATGGGCATATGCAAATTTTCGGATTGATCGGCCTACTTTGAAAAATCCATATCAAACAATTTTATTTCTAACAAAGACTGCCATGGAAAAACAAAATTGCTTTCCTGTCACTGTTAATCTCTCAAACTGTAATTTAGTAAACTTAAAGTGTTTTTTAAACAGAATATTAACATTAGAGGAAAAAGTTTACGTGATTCAGTGTTATGGAACCGGGAAAAACCCGATTATTGCTTTACTTTGTGAAAAATTTCCAAATACTGGAATTAAAAGAAGTACTTGTTGGCGTTTAATCAAAAGATTTCTTAGAGCAGGAAGTATTCACTCTAAGAAAAAAAAATTATGATGAAACTGATTAACTATGATTAACTGTTTTCCTTTGTGGGCGAACAAAAAGTCGTAATAAAGTACTATTAACGAAAATAATAAATAATGGGTTTTATCAAAGTAGGCTGATGAAAATTTGCATATGGCCATAACTTTTCATTCTGAATAAATTTTTTTAGTAACATTTTACCATACTGTAAACAGAAAAGGTACTTTACCTGACACACAAGAAGTTTTAGCTTCAGTGTCAACCCTCACTTGTTTTTTAAATTTGAAAATATGTTCAAAATTAGTCTTTAATCAAGCAGGCCTGAACCCTAAAACATGACAGTTAATATCGAAAAAAATTTACATTTTATAAGAGTCGTTTCACCTATCCGGGGACACACTGTATATAGGGTCATCCACGACGACCGTCCATTAGAACTATACAGGCTGGTTTTTAATTGGGAAACTTTACTAGGACGTAATACTTGCCAACAAAATACAAGTTTTTTATATTATTATGAGCTATGAGCTGTCAAAGTTGAGCCAAAAATTTACATTTTATCTTCTATTTTGGGTATAAGTAAACCATAGAATTTTAAATTTTGTACGTATGTACTATTGGTTAATACCTTATTTTCAACCATACCTTAAACTTCCCCAGCGCACTCTAAGGGGATGAAATTCACAACCCCTTTTATTTTTTTATAACAACTTTTTAATGCCATGGAATATTAACATAAAAAAATATGGGTTGTAAAGCTTATTCATTATTGGTACTTTTTTGTCTCTTTAGTTTTTTCCTAAACATGACGACACATAGCGGTACAAGGCACGACATTTTATGTTTTTACACGGAAACTATTACCTTTAAGGAACATACTAAAGAGACAAAAAAGTACCATTAAAGAATGAGCTTTACAACCCATATTTTTTTATGTTAATATTCCATAGCGTTAAAATGTTCTTATAAAAAAATCAAGGGGGCGCTGGGGAAGTTTAAGGTATGCTTGAAAATAAGGTCTTAACCTGTACTATAGTACTAAATACGTACAAAATTTCAAATTCTACGGTTTACTTAGAGCCGAAATACAAAAGAAAATGTAAATTTTTGGTTCAACTTTGACAGCTCATAACTCGAAAACAAACGAGCTGCGACCCTACGTTTATGTAAAAAACTTGTGTTATTTTGGCAAGTAGTACGTCCTAGTAAAGTTTCCCGATTAAAAACTGAACCACCCTGTATAGAGAACTAAATGAAGTGGGGGTTTGAAAATTTGCAGGCTTATGATGTTTGAAACGAGTTTTTTAACTAAAATATTTTCATATTTCAAATGGAACAGCCTGTATTGTATTACGTTTTTGCAATCTTTGATCAATTCTAGGCCAGTTGTCTGTTACATACCCTATACCCAAGGTTTATATATTAAAGGTTGTCTAAGTTCCTATGCTGCAATACTTTGATTTTAGTTTGTGGGCGAGGGGCAAGAGCAGGAGTGTTTCGTGACGTAAGCGATCACGGATTGCGCACGCAACCTCATGGCCATGTGGTGCTCCATGCCTTTGTTTAATTTGAATTGCTTGGCGGTATTATTTTCCACATGTGACGTAATGCGCAGTATGATTGCGTACGAACCTAGACAACCTCTTATATATAAACCTTGCCCTATACCTATGTTGAGTCATGTATGTATGTATGGTACGGGGAGTGCGTATTCTATACGCGGCACCTAGGCCCCAGCGGACCTTGTATATCCTCCTCCTAAGAGGTCTGAGATGTTATAACGAGCTTATCTCGATTTTGGCTGATTTCGCTTCCTGACCCGCACTATGCACACGCCCAGTGCGGGTTCGCCCATGTCAGGTGCCGCTCAATGATACCACTCAGTGGTATCATCTCAGTGGAGCAAAAGCTGCATCAACCCTTGGTCCGGGTATGCTCCCACGAGGTGCAGCATCAAGGGCGCTAACGCGCATTCAGCCATGTGTTCAAACCTCTTATACACATATTACGACAACCAGAGGTGAACGACTCGAAGATTATTTGAATCTGAGAATAATTTATGGAGAGTGCAACCAAATAATAGCGCGTACGTGCTGTTTGCGGAAAGATTCCATGAATTTCCAATTCATCCCGTACCAACTATTACTAAGGGTTATTGTACATAGGTAAAGAACTGTCGGGAATTTGGAACATTTTCTCTGGAATCAGGAAAACTTAAATTCTTAGAGCTACCAAGGAATTTTACGCAATGTGCTGGTGGCAGCATTGCGACTTCTCGAAATCTTTCCGCAAACGGCCGACACGTACCTACGTGCACTTTCCAGAAATTATTATCAGCCTCAAATAATTCTCATTACTAACTTCCAAATGTGGCATTTTTTGAGAACAGATCACTACAAAAAGTAACCTAGTCATCACACCAACAGGAATAAACCATAGCCTTAGCAAATGTCAAACTGTTTATTTTCCCATCATTCTTGTGATTCCACTTACGAATCGTTTTATCATGGTAAACAAACATTCTAAGCATAGGACATTCTACATAAAGTTGATCCAAAATTTTTCATAAAATTCAAAAATTAATTCATATGTTAGGGTTGCCATTTGAAATAATAGACTTTTAGGGCTTTTCTTAAGTTCAACTTTGATATTATAATTTGAACAACCGATAATAGATAACCACCACAACATTTTTCTTTCGGCGGTTGGAGTAGATTATTTATAAATTATTGAAGGTAACGTTGTAGCTGACATTTTTGATTAAAAAAAATTAATATCTCAAAAATGACAACTTAGGTATAGGGTTAGTAACATACAAGTGGCCTAAAATTGAACAAAGATTTCAAAAATGTAATAAAATGCCACACCTGCATTTGAAATATGAAAATTGTCACCATTTCCGGTGTAATCACAAGTATCCGGAACCTGAAAATATTTTAGTTAAAAATCTCGCATGAATCATCATAAGTTCACAAATTTTCAAAACCCTAATGGACTGTCCCTAACTGGATGGTTCTAATGGACGGTCGTCGTGGATGATCCTGTATAGTGTTTTTTGTATGTTCCAAAAATGGACACCACGCCTGTTGTGAATTGTTATAAGTAATAAATCGAATTAATTAGAAATGAAAAGTATGTGCCATTTATTGAAAATAAACTAAAAAAATATTATACAGGACATATCTGTTTTAAATCACAACACATGATTTAAAACAAGGTTCATGTAAATTTACATTGCATTTCTCGCATTTTTTGTGGAATTCTTTTTGCACAAAGCACAGCTGTTTTGTTTTGCTGCCAGAACCATCCAGTGATTTACGCAGTCAAATCGAATTTCATTCGGTACACGTGTATCAAATGCCTTCGAGGATTTAGGTCGACCTGCTCCAACTGGCTTGCTTCCATATTTGCCAAGATAAATTTGTACAACCTCTCGCCTAAATTTTAAATAGTCTACGTTTGGTGTATATCCACGGTAAATTTGCCAGGCATTATGTATACTCGTATCGATGCAAAATGCAAATGCTGCCCACCACCATTTCTTATTTCTTTTCGGTATCTATCTATATTTTCATCCATCCTGTCAACGCCCCCCATATAGCGATTATATCGGGAAATAACTTTTGGTTGTGTAACAGAAACTTTTTTATTTAGGAGAAATAATATAAAATGTTTTTTGTACTTTTAAACTGGTCTTTAATTAGATAATAAACTTGAGTCTTACTAATTTCGGCTACAAGCCATCTTTCAGAGAATAGTTTTTGGGCACAATAATAGATTCAACTATGAAATATCAAGATTTATGTCATTTCCAAAGTTACAAATTAAAATTTCAAAGTCATTTTCGTACTGACTCTAAAAATAAAATTGAAATACGTATATATTTTTTGTCGAATAACGTCCGTAGTACGGCACCATACTTTCATTTACACTAAGATGTTCAATAGTGAATTCAATATATTGAATATATTCAATATATGCAATTAGATTTTCATTATCTGCACAATGGACATATTTTTTTATTTCTTCAAATCCATTTCGCCTCATTGCATTTGAAACATTATATGTTTCAGTATCGGTTTCCCACGACATTCTCCACCTGGGCAAACGGATATATCCTGATACCGAAAGAATTGCTATAAAACATTTCAATTCATTTGTATCTATGTCAAAATTATGCTCTCCCTTTGATTTTGCATAACCAACAAACATTTTTACTAAAAAATTGCATATTTCTTCGTCAAAAAATAATTCAAAACAGCTCACCGGATCCATAGGTTGGTCTGTTTGAGGTTTTGGACACACAAAAGTTTCAAATGTAAGATTCGTATCGATGTTGCACCAATTCCGTTGAGCTGGAACACATCGAGCTTGAAGCTGAAGCGGCTTTCTGAGTTGAGCTAAAGAAATATCATCTTCTTCGTCATGATCCCTTGCATCAATTGATTCTTCATCCCATCTAAAAATTCCCTTTGCTGAATAAACGTAGCTTCCGCTTGAAATTAACGTCAATTATTGTAGTCAACTATTCTGTAGTCAGGGGCCTAAAATATATTTTCGATTGAGAGTGCATGATAGGCCTGGTGTTCCATTGTCGGAACATACAAGTTTTATGTAATGTAAAAAACAAGTTCATTTAAGACGTCGGCGCCGTGTCGCTTTGAAACGTGCATTGAAGCAGCTCGAAATGTCCTCCATTTCGAGCATTTAGTTTAATATGTGCTATACTTTATTTAATTTTGTTGTTGTTTTTCAAGTTTTTATTTTATTTTTGTTTACTGATTATTTATTGCTATTTACGTTTGAAGAGTTGTTTTTGTAATTTGTTATTTTTGTTGTTAATAAATTCACTTTGTTTATGGGTTTAGACCAAAAATTTTTACAGGAATGGTCATCACTTTTACTCCAGTATTTGTGATTAAAATTATGCCACGACTTACAGAAACATCCTGTATAGCCGGAAATCTTGACGATCAACCTTCCACTAGCAGTTCATTTTTTCTGTCCTGTGCTTGGTTTTGACTACAGGCAGTTGCAGGTCTACTGAGTTTAATTAACCCTAAATCGTCCAGGTCCAGATGATTTGCCTGGTGGGTTTATTATCAGCTGTGCCAAGGAACTAACTATACCCTTATACCACATTTTCAGTCTCTATGTAAAGGTATCTATTTTCAAGTATGGTAAAAAACACTTGGTCACTCATTATCGTGCAATTTCTCTTCTACCTATTGTTTCAAAGGTCTTTGAAAAACTAGGGTATTTGTTTCTTAATTGCAATAAGTGCTATCAAATTACATTTAGTAGGAAGCGATATCCTAAAAATTTTAAGTATCACCTGGAAACTAATTTTGTAAACATTACTTCTCAAATTTGAGACCTTGGTGTTATTCTTGACTCAAAACTCTTTTTAGATGCTTTAAAACGGTAAGGTTTTATTATTCGTATTTCCCGTCTCTTACTAATCTGCGGAACATCGTTTCCTTGTATGCGGCGTATGTCGGTAGTATTTTGAATTTGGCCTCAGTGGTTTGGAATCCTTCAGACGCTTTATACACCGTGTACATAAAGTAAGGAATCAAGTCGATAAAAATTCGGGGGATATTCTTCCAGAAAAAAGGCTTGGATGTCTAAGTTATTTTTTGGAACGTTCATTTTTAAGATAAATTTGAAATGTAGACAAAACTGTCTGTATTGGGCAATAGAAAATCCCAGATAGAACTTACTTTTTTGAAGAGATATCTTGATTTCTTACAACAATATCTATTCCCCAATTTAAGATATTCATTAAGTTCAGTGTTAATGACCCGATGCTACGTGACGAAAATTTATGGTACATGCAAGATGATGCACAACCACATTATGCACAATATCTCGATGAAGTGGCATTTCCTAACAGATGGATTGGAAGGCGTGGGTCAATGAATGGCCATTAAGATCTTCGGACCTACAAAAGTATACTTGTGTCGTTCGACGACTTAGTAAAGAAATAATTATTAGGGTCTACCATGAATTTATCAATGGTTTGAGATACTACCTGGCACAAGAAAGGTTTCAGTTTCAGCATTTAATTAAGTAGACAATGTTAAGATAAAACCATATTATCGTTTACCTGAAATAAAATAGTAATAGTATTTTTTTCGAAGATAGCTGAATATGGACATAGATATCCTAGCCTTTTTTTCTTGAAGAATATCCTCCGAATTTTTGACGAATTGATTCCTTACTTTATGTACACAGTGTAGATGGCTCGTATTGAGGCTTTGCGGAAGAAGTTTTTGAGATATTTGGGCACAAATTTAATCTCCCTTATTGTTCATATGCCCAGCGCTGCTTAGTAGGAAGCGTAGGAAGCTAGCATTGTAGGAACACAAAACGCGCACACTGCGATGCGCAGAATACATATTTCAGTGTTTTTTGTTATAATTTCACACTATTGCTCACGTTTGGATCGACTAGGATACTATTTTACTAAATCGAACGGTTTCATCCACTGAAGGCGACGCAGAACATCCTCATTGTGTATTTAGTATGCACTTTAGTACTTTGTTTTGGAATCTTTGAGTTGTCCCCCGTTGTCAACGTATAAAACTGCATTGCCATTTATGTGTACTGGGACATAGTTTACTTTCTTATAAATAAAGTTTATGTATGTCGATTTATTTATATTTAATTTTATTAGCCATCGTTTGGTTTAATTTTCGATTGAATTTAACGCCAATAGCAACTTTTTCATTTTCTGCAACAGCCAAGAAAGCTGTATCATCTACGAATGTAGCTGTTAAAGTTTATGGTATATGAGGAAGGTCGAAGATGTAGAATAAGTACAGTGTTGAGCCAAGCACACTTCCTTGAGGAATTTCAATCCCAAATTGATGTGCCGGTATTAGAGCTTTTTCTTCTATGTCAACTTTTAATCTTTTTAATAGTAACTATTCAAATAGTTTTGATAGTAACGGTAATAATGAGATTGGTCTATATGATGCAACATCTGTGGGGGATTTACCATGTTTTGGTATCATTATTATTTCAGCAACTTGTCCAACCAAAGAAATTGTATATATAGAAGCAGTTGTAAACACTAAAACTTGAAGCCAACGCAACACGCGGTTTGTTTACTAATAACCTTTGTCGAAACCGGTTGAAACAATGAACGTGCACAGATCGGACCAGCGGCCGATTATCGCCGAACATTCCCAAATATTATTGCCCCTAGAATAAGGCATACACTAAAATAAATAAACCTATTTGCGAATTTTTCTAAGGTTCTCCATTAATTAGCTCAGTTCATATCCTGCTGTTTTCTTTATACTTAATTTTTGTATTATTTTTCATAATAAAGCTCTTTCATCCTTACAGGTAGTATATTTATTATTCTCCTCCTCACTTTGAGTTATGCTTGGAACAATATTTAACATAGTTGTTGGACTGTACAAGTATTTATATATAAACAAATTAGCTTGTTCTTGATTGCTCTTATCCCAATTTCCGTTACTATTTAGATTTGGAGTTGTTGTTTTTGGAACTTTAAGCTTCCCTGTTCGCTTCCATAGAGAATAATCAGTATCTGTTTTCATTTTGGATATCATCATCTATTGTACCGTTGCTTTTCTTGTACTAACTGTTTTTTAGTGGATACTTAATTAAATTTTTTCCATCTTTTTTTTACATAGATTTACCATTTAGTTGAGGGAAAATCAAAATTAAGCCGATTCGCTGATGATGATTTAGAAGATCACCAACCCTTCCCCACCCTTCAATCCGCCTTGGAAATTCTTGACACCAAATCGGGTTTTAATATAGAAATTAAATGCCCTAATAAACTGTTGGATGGTGGCGAAGAATTACGTGAAACGCAAGATCTTAATATCTTCGTCGATACGATTTTGGAGGTGGTTCTTCAGTACGCAGGCGTAAGAGAGATTGTTTTTTCGAGTTTCAATCCAGATGTGGTATCGATGGTTCGTTTAAAACAAAATAAGTACCCTGTTATGTTCCTTACACAAGGAGATACGAAAAGATATCCGCCATACGATGACCAACGATGTTGGAACATGACAAATGCGGTGCATTTCTCGAAAATGCATGAAATTTTGGGTGTGAGTGCTCATACTGAGGATATTTTAAGAGATGCCTCTTTGGTGGGTTATAAAAATTGTTAAAATTATATTTTTTTAAATTATTTGTTTCGTAGGCTCAATATGGATTAGATAAAGGAATAATTATGTTTTGTTGGGGTGATGATTTAGATGATGTAAATACAATAACTTATGTAAAAGATCTTGGTCTTCATGGAATTATTTACGATAAGATCTGCCAATATTTGGATAGAGAAGATAAAGATAATATTTATTTGTTGGAAGGTCGTGAATCACAGAAAGAATTAATTCGTATAGCGGCTACTGCTCCACCTGAAGAACCTGAACCAGATTATCCTTTCAAGAAAACCAAGCTGGATTATGAGCGTGATAATGTTTCCACAGCTACCTCATTAGAAAGTTTAGAAAGCGGTAAATAATTTTCCAAAACCTTCATTATATCTATATTATTAAGAGTAAGATGTTAAAGATAGTTTTATACAGATGATACGCAATTTAAGCCACAAAGTCATTATTAGTAGCGTTTTTTACATCATTACATAATAAGCGTGAGCAGCAATAGAAGATTTTTGTGTATTATTTTTGTTGGATTTTAAGAGATCGTCTGTGATAAATTTATTATTGAGGTCTCTATTGTTGTTAAGCCGTGAGTTTCTTTTTTTTCAGAAATGGATCGAGTGGCTAAAGTAAAAGGTCGTCAGTGTGTATAAATATTCTATTGTATTAGTGATGTCTTAATAAATTAATTTTTGTATTTTTTTTAATTTAAGGAAATTCAATAGTAATTCCATCAAGTTTTTTTAAAAAAAATTTAGGTGAACTGTGTCCATAAAAATAGTACGCAAGATTATTATACTAAAAAAAATGTATTCCTTTGTAAAATCATCTTGTGTACAAAAACAAAAATATTTTTCGTAGTTTATCTAGTGTTGAATTTTTATTTTATTTGGGTTGGGTTGTATGTAAAAAAATTAAAATAAAAAAAAATATGTGTTCTATTTTTAGAAATAAAATCTACCTAGGTGATATTTTATAGGATACTCTAATTTTCTGAGATATTAAATTTGTAAGCAGGAAAGAGATTTATGCATTTTATAGAAAAATATTATATCTTATGATTTACTGAGGCTTGTGTTTCAAAAAATATTTGAAATTAATTTTTTTGGTATAGATAATAAAAAATTCTAATTGGTGATTCAAGTTTTACTTTAAATTTCCTAAGTTATCCAATTATATACTAGGAATTTGAACTTCAATACTTAGATAAACGTATTGCAAGAGAAAAGATTAAAAATTTTTGAGTAGCCAAAAAGGATAAAATCAATGACAAAGAAAAAATTCGTAACTCGATGACAATATTGTCACATAGGTTTCGCTATTAGCCGAATACAAAGTGAAGAGATGGAAATCGAATATTCTGAGAAGCGAAGGAGAAAAATAGGTATTTATGAAGGCAAGGTTGAAATTAATAATGGAGTCTTGCGAAGCTGTGGAATGATGGTAAAAAACAGGACTAAAAGTTCGTCATTTCACTGATTTAGTATTTAAACAACGTACTAAAAATTACCAAACTATGCTAGTCTAGGTTCCAAAGCAATTGACAATTTTTTTAGCTTAATAAAATTGTAAAACAAGGGTGATAGTGGAAACTGGAAGAAAACAAATAAGGTATAGCCTCACCTCAAATGCAAGATACATCAACTACAAAACTTTTGGCATTGTCATTCCAACTCAAACCGACCTGGAAGTAGAAATTATATAATTAAACATTTCTTTTATTTGGATGTTTTCAAATTATGTTTTTGGAATTCTCTACGAATAATGGAATTTAAATCTCTTTGACCTAAAACATGTAGTATTTAAATAGTGGATATAGAACATGATCAACATATACCCACTTGGGTACGAAGCGAAAAAAGCTAAATAACATTAATATCATAAAGTCAAGAACACGTCTTAACACTTTTTTCAGGTAGGACGTCCAGAAATAGTTGATTAGACAACAGTTTGCACCAGAGATGCAATCGGTCAAAGTCTATACGTATAAATGGATATTGATGAACGAGTTTTCTTGAGTGTGTCTATCAAAAAATCATACATTCGCTTTTCTTGTTGACCCATCTTTAGTTCGAAACGGAGGGTTTCATGACGGCGTCCCAGAATGGATTATCTCTTCCTTAATGTATATAAGATACATTATGACATGAAACTTATCTGACACTAAAATTTTAATGTGCAAGGTAAACTTTTATTGTGCCAATAAAGTGCGTGTACACATACTAAGTCGTTCTACGTTCTAAACATTATTATTATCATAGCAGACATGGAGGGAAGTCATGTTGGTGCCTTTAAAAATTCTTAAAATTCGTGCATATAGAAGCTTAGATGAGAAGAGCAAATGAGCTTAACTTACATTGTGATGTGTTGGTTTGTTTCTGGGTTGCATTGTCTCGAGATTAGGTTGCTTTGCAGTTGAGTTGACTCGATTCCCTGTTGAGATACTTTATGGTTAAGTTGTTTTCAGCTTCGCTTGCGTTGGAGTTAAATTACTTTATGGTAAAGATGCTTTAGGATTGGATTAGTTTGTTTTAGAGTAGAATTACTTCGTAACTAAGTGCTTTATACTTGAACTGAGTTACTTAGGAGTTCTTTGGGACAGAGTTGGTTGGCGATTAATTGGCTTTGTTTGGAATTGGGTTTGCTTACTTTGTGTTTATGTTGTTTTTTTTTTGAGGTTAGCTTATCAATTGGATTGGATTCTCAAAGCCAACCCAATCTTGACCTAATTATATGTTAAGTTTGATTTATATGGGTTGGTCGATCTTGTAGGGTTGCAGTATTTTGGGGTTGGGTTCCTCTGTGATTCACTTGCTTTAGGTGGGCTGGGTTGGGTTGGGTCAAAAGGATCATACATAATGATATGAGAGGATTTTATTAAGTTGCAACATACTAAATAAAGTACTAGCTAGAAATGCGAAATATCGGAAGCGAAAATTCGTTAATTAGATCATTAATTAACCTATGCGAAATTAGCCTCTATTTTTCTAGCCCCCAATTAGGTAGGATTTTACATCTATAGTATTTTGGTTATAACAAGAGAACCACTCAACCGATTTCGATAATCAATGTCTCATTCGAAAGCTTAATCCTTGGCCAATAGGAAAATGGAAACGCCCGATCTCTAAATTTGCTAATTAAGTACTTACGATTGTTTAAACGACTCCGGTGACTTTACTGCCTGGAAGTGTACTCCCCAATTACATCACAAATATTTGTTTGTAAACTGATTACTACTAGAGAATAAACTAATGTGAAAATGTTTGAAATATTCTAGTAATCATAATAAAGTATGTAAACAAACGAACAAAGTAATAGACTGATTTAAAATGTATTTGTACTAAACAGAAAATCTTTTTTTCATATTTGGTTTTAGTATTTCTACCTTTAATATAATTTATTGTTGTTCTTATTACTTCTCTAGTCTTTTTTGCGGGTATCCCGTTAAGGCTATGGAGCGGCTACATCATAAGGTATCAACAACGATTTAAAATGTTCTTTATTTCATGATGATATCTCAATTCGTTTTTTTTAAATTTATATTTCATGATACAAAAAATAAGGGATGATGCATAATCCAACGTCTTGGCTGTTTCGTTTTAATAATTTGTTGGGCACCTGATTCTTTTGCAGAAAGTGTTAAACATTGAAATTCGATTAGTGCGTTTTATTTTAATAAAATGACGTAATTTTTATTTGAAACGTTTCGAGAAAACGAGTAATTTTTTTATTGAAAGGTTGAGTTTTAAAACCAAAAAAACGAGTTAAAACCGCTTCGCCCCGTCGTCTTTACATTTTTTGTTTATTCACCTCCAGTATTCCTTCTTCACACAATAAATTAAGGAGGGGATGTTTGGATGTTGATTCGCTAATAACGCATTTTAGTTGATGTGCGGGCATTTAAGGGTGATAAACTGGTTTAGAAAAATAAAACTTATTACGTGAATTAAGTGATAAATACCTGCTATATTTATGCTAAGTGTTAGGTGATATTAGTGATGTTGAGATCATCGGATTGCTATTTTATGGATGTTAAAAGGTACCGTATTAATTCATTTTTTTTTCTCAATAAATTAATTTATTTATTCTTCCCAGCTGAGGTTCGAAGTAAAATCCAAGGGAAACAACATCCATTCGGTAAGTCGTTTTCAATTTTATTAATTTACCAAAACATCGGGATAATTCGCGATTTGAACGGTGTAATGTTGCCAGATAAAAACCGTTTGAACGCTACTTATTGGATTTGTGCTTGAAAAACGGTACCTACCATTCAATACATTTTTGCATTTTGTGCTTGAAAAATTATAAAGCTTTAATTATTAACATTGTCAAAACATGAAATAATTTGAAATTGAGTGTAAACCACTCCAAATAATTCCAATATAATCTAATTCAAGCTTTTTAAGGGGGGAGTCACTTTTTTTGTATCAAATAAAATGATTTCTTTGGGAATTTTTTGCTACCAAATTATGTGGTATTTCAATTTAATCTTTTGTATATGTTTTCATGATATATTTACTTATTTAAAAAGAATTGTTTATAGAAAATAATCTTTACATTGTCCCTCAACCAAGTTGGTGCGTAGATTGTCTAAGTTGCTGGTTGACACAATATCTATCCTTGAAAGGATCTGAAACTCAAAAATGATGTTCTTTTTTATATACTTGTGATTATCGTTTGAACTAGAACTAAGCAAAAAAAAAACATTATTGGCAAAATGGCGCCTAGTCTAATTAAGATAATCGATTTTGTTCTACAAGTCGATAAGTTTATGGCAAAAAAAGAACATATGTATATATCGTATCAGTTTCTCTGTAGGTCATATGATAGAAAGATGCTATTTGAAAGTGCAGTTCAAATTTCAAGTCAATCGAATGAGTAGTTTTTTAGGAATCGTATTAACCTGATGTAAAAAGGATGTTTCGAGAAAAATGCACTTACAGTTTCATGTACTACAATGTTATGCGTCTACACGCCTTGTTAATTTAACGTTTATAACTTCTACATTCAGCCAGACATAATGAAATGATGATGAATGGAGAGAATATTGCGTTCATTATTGGTCAGAACAAAAAATAACAGCCATGTAAGCGATAACTATCTTACAAAGATTCTGGGGATCTATTTCATTCGTATAGAGAAGTTGCAGAATATGCTGGTCACTGCAACTTTCATCTTAACGCTTCTCAGTGTGATTGATTTTTCCAGTGCTATTTTGATATATTTTACTGCGGGTTGTTCACGTTCTCCATTACTACTTTTGGCAGGTTTTTGGTTTTTCACGTTTTCTGGTTCTGCTGTTCTAATGAACTTCTTAGTTTTTAATAATGTTTTCTTGGGAGACTTGGTGTTTTACAGAAATCTCTTGAATCGTTCTGATTTTTATTCAACACCAATTTTATTTCCCATATTCCTCCCTTCTTTTCTCTTTTTTCCGTGTATTGTCTTCTCTAGTCATGTCATTTCCCGGAGTTTGTTTTGGTTCTACTGGCAGGCTATATTTTTTATTTTACTCGTACCTTTACATTATTCATCGTACCAGTAATTTTTTAAGTTTTTTCCTATGTTCTCCTTACACTTCTTTGACAGATACTTTTATTACTTACTATCGCCTTCGTTGTTTCTTATATTATTGCCCATACTCTGTTCGCCATTGGAGTATATTTGGACAAGTGTCTATATTTTCTTGTTTGATAATGTATTTTTGCATCTATTAACAGATTGCTTTCCAATAGCAATATCTAAAAAAAACTCGGTACAGGAACAGAATGTAATGTTCCAGATATAGGAAATAGGAATTAATTTACTCTGAACATTTAAAAATATTCTGTCAAGAACTTCTTCGTTAACTGTGGAGCTATGTGGAGCTCCATGGATGGGTGCATAATAGAACACCTGCAATTATGATCAACATATATTATACTCGCCCGGGCACAAAGCGAAGGCAGTTAAACAATAGTGTTGTGATAAAACTAAACTAAACTAAATAGCTAACAATTATGGCGTTGTCCAGAAATAATCGAATAGATAAAAGTTGTCATCAGAGATGCTCCCGTTTAAAGACTGTTCTTACTAAGGGATGTAGATGCTTTCTCTTTCATTGTAGTGGCCCACCTTTATTCAAAACGGAGGGCTTCATCATGGAATGCATTTGACACTCTACATTTTGAGCGCAGGGCTGTTGCTAAAACTAACATTCTAAACGCATATTGAAACATAATCCCCAACCAAGTGTGTATACAGATACCATATCGTTCTATGGATACTTTATCCGTATTAACAAAAAATCTCGTATAACAAGAAAACGGAGACGATGAAATTGTGGTTTGGTGAATCTCTTAGAGGTGCAGATATCCAATAGACCTAAGAGCAGATTTATATACTTGTGTGCTTGCTATACACAGAGAGAAATTTATGAGTCAAGCATTATTACGCTTAATTCAAATAACCAAAAATAAGATAATCTTAAACCAAGAAACGGCGTAAAATCTTGTATCAAAAAGATGAATATTCTTAATTTTCAAGAAATAATATGCTTGGTTGCCAAGAGTTTTGGAATTCTCCAGTTTTTTAAAGGAAAAAAATGTAATCTTCTTTTTAATATTTTTTTTTTCTCAAGACTAGAATAAATTGCTTTCGGTGAAGAATAATTTAGTTGTTAATTCAAGTGTAGCTCAATAATTTTTTCTTTATAATAATAGAATACCATTTATTTTATATGAAAAACCTTTTTTTTTGTTTAATAATAATTATATTTGAATGAAAAGTAAATATTTTTTCGCTTAATAATACTTATTTTTGAATTGATATGTATAGTGCTTGAGTCAATAACACCTGATGTCTCAGGTGAAGATTTGATGTATTTTGTCATTCTTTACCGCCAAAGATGTTTTAGCATAACCTGTAGGCCGAACATTTTACTTCTTAATAAAATCTCAAACATATTTTTTGCTAAATAATTGATGCGTGCACTACTGAACTAAATAACTGCTTAGCTAACAACTATTTAGCAAATAAACAATAGGGAGTTTATTAAGTCGTTAAAAGTTCTGCCTTTTAGATCATGCTAAAAGGAACCTAAAAGTAATGATGCGTAAATATTACATAATATACCAATAAACATATATTATATAATATCGTTTTATAACAAAATCCTAGAAATGACGTAAACTTTTTGATATTGATAATATGCTTTATTTGGAACTAATAACTTAAAGTTTTATAATAACTTAATAACAATCCTTCGCTTCATTTAAATTAAATACACTATCTGTGTCATTCGAAATGATAGGAACTGATAAAGGCTCTGCTTTTTGTATGTTTGAGTTACTAAGCTTAAGATTTAACTGAGTTTTTGATGACTTATTTTTCTTTATATAGGGATGTTTAAGTACCAAATGTTTTTTAAAAGAATCTTTCTTATTATATGATCTCCCACACGTTGCTGCGGGGCAATTAAACGAATCTTTGTTATGCACGTATATTAGATGATTTATATAACGAGTTATTACTTGAAATTTTTCTAAACATATTGTACATTTTAAAGCCATATTTCCTTACTTGCAATCAATATTTTTATATTATACCAAAAATCATTAAATTGGAGAAGCAGTATTTATAAGTACATATATTATTATTTAACAGAAGATATTTGTATTTATGCTATAAACGTATATCTTATTGTTGGTTACGACTGCTGCAGACTGCTGACAGTTCCTAAAATATCGGACAGATATGGATAAGTTTTGTCACGTTTTGTTTGCATTTCATAAATACCTTGCTGAATTAACATCCATAAATAATCACATTGTTGGAAATATTTTAAAACAAAGTGCCATAGCATCTATTACTTTACTACAGCTGTACTTAATTTCATCCACCACCACATACGAAGAAGTTATCTGTGTCTACGTTTGTCCTTGAAATATAATATAAGGTTGAATTGCCCTTTTCAAATGTAACTCTTTTTGCTTTCTTTGCAAAACGGCAGAGTTTGAGCCTGAGTCTGATTTGCGATCTGCTGATTGGACGAAAAACAGTTCCCGTGCGGTTATTATAAACATTTCGAAAAAATTTTATTAGAAAGATCGCTTCAGAATAATGTATCCTACAACCGTATAATGCTCTTATGCGGAAGATACGGGACACGCTGTATACTCTACTTGTATTTAATACTTTAACAAAAAATATATACAAAGAGTTCCACCTCCTGGGAACTTAATTTTATAGGTAGTAGCAAAAATTTGAGTCCTACTGCAATATCTGAAAATAAAATAACTTTTATAACTTCCAGCAGAAGTGGTAAAACTAAAACTTAATTTTGATTACCTATCTTCATCACATTCATCACTGTTTAATAACATGTGTAATGCCGCTTGAGCCTGCTCATGACATACAGGTTGTCCCCAAACTCAACGTCAAGGGCACCGGGTGAGAGGCCAACCCATACCTGTTCTGGTAAAAATGAGAAAAAAATTCCATGTCTCTTAGTTAAGTAGTAATAGACATATTTTTGAAAACGTTAAAAATTGGTCCTGTACATCATATCTTTAGGTACTAAGGTCAGAAATGTTCGCAATTTAATAGTGATTTTTTTTAATAATGTATTCCTTATGAACCATGTTACTGTAGAAGTCACAAATCAAACAACAAAAATCGTTAGTTTTGCAAAAAAATATATTAATTTGATTAAGTTACGGTTGAAAGAATTTATGTCTATCCAGTTTGACACACGATTTTTAAAAAAGGAATAGTACGACACCTTTGGTTCCCAAAATGGTCCTTTGGTCACCAAAGTTTCCAAAATGGTACAACATTTGCCATTTTTCTTATCATAAAAAATATTATTACCTGTTTTTCTGCAAAAAACACGTTCTCTTTCAAATAAGGTTAACTTAAAGACAAAATTAAACAAACAAATTTATTTATTATTAATTTTATAGCATTATTTTCTTAAAACTAAGGCAAATGCTCACATTATTTGCCGTCGGCACTAATACAAGCTCTGCGTCTTTTTACTAGTTGTGCAAATCTCTTTGCATTTATTTCTTCTGCTGCTGTATAAATATTGTGGCGCAGTTCGGTAAGATTTTGAATCGGTTTTTAATACACTGTTTCTTTTATGCAGTCCTAATAAGAAAATCAAGGGGATTTAGACCCAAAGAATGGGGAGATTACGTAATCGAACCACGACGCCCAATCCATCTTTCTGGGAATTCTGTATGCAATCCCGTACAGGACAAGCATAATGAGCTGGGCAATCATCTTGTTGAAACCACATTTCTCTGTAGATATTGAGTGGTACATCTTCTAACAAAGTTGTTAAATCATTTTGGAGGAAATAGAAATAACATACAAAAGTATGAATTTTTTAAATAACGCGTTTTTGGCAGAAAAACGCAATAATATTTTTTAGGAAAAGAAAAATGGTAAGTGTTATACCATTTTGGAATCTTGGCTAAACAGGCCATCTTTAAAATAACTTGCCAAGGGTATTGTAGTAGTCCTTTGTTTAGAAATCGTGTGTCAAACTGAATAGACATAAATTCTTTCAACCTTAACTCAATCAAACTGATACTTTTTCTTGTAAAACTAACGACTTTTGTTGTTCGATTTGTGACTGCTATGGTAGCATGGTTCATGAGGAATACATTATTAAAAAAATCACTATTAAATTGCGAACATTCCTGACCGTAGTACCTAAAGATATGATGTACGGGAACGATTTTTAACATTTTCAAAAATATGTCTATTACCACTTAATTAAGAGACAAAGAATTTTTTTTCTTATTTTTGCTAGAACAGGTATGGGTTGACCTCTCACCCGGTGCCCGCTTGACGTTGAGTTTCGGGACAGCCTGTATAATAAACTTATTGCTTATTTTTCGTAGGTTCTTAATAGCCTCAAACAATATATTAAACTTTACAAACAAATCCGTTTCTGCAATTGGACACAGTTGATCAAAATCCATACATATCTAAAATGAATAGAAATAAATAATTTTTTCATCCCTATAGGAATGGGTTAGATTAGGTGCTTGTTTTACTTTGGGTTAAGCTGATTTGGATATTATATTATAGAGACCATGAAAAGACTTTAAGGAAAAGACATTAATGGACTAATATAACTATCTGATTGTTAAAGAAGAAAATCAAGAAAATATATTTTAGGATATCTTTTTATATGACTTAACCCTAACAGTTAGACTACCAATATTGCAAATTAAGTATCAGTAAAAAAACTCTTCATCTAGAATGAGTTTAATAGCAAAATAAATTTAAGTGTGTTAAATGACAAGATTTTAATAGATGGTTGTGAAATTAATATTAATTTAGTATCATAATTTTTATTTAATCCACTTTGAAATATTCAATTTCTTTTGTAAAGCTCTAATAATCTCACCACCTCATATTCCATTTTTTTTTCATACTCACAGTACAATTAATTAAAACGTACGAACTAATTAACACGTAAGACATGCGTTAAGTCACCGCACGTATTAATTATTCGTTGTTTAATGTAAATGGATTGCGTGCGTTTTTCCAATGGTTCAGTCTACAAGAACTAGGCCAAATAAAAACCGTATGATTTATTGCACTGCGGATGGTCAAATTAACACAAACGCACGAGTAGAGTTAAAGAGTGCATAAAATGCTTGCGTTTTTGTCAAGCTCCACAAACATCAAAACGTATAAATACTTACCAATAGTATTTTCTTGGTTCAGTGTCAACGCAAGCATCGATTGAAACAAACATGTGGAAGATACAAGTGATTATGATTTGGTTAAGTTTCCGTTGTATTTTCGCTATGGATCATTACGAATTAGTAGAAAAAGTGATGAAGGGATGTTTGGATGGAAATAATTCTTTAGTAACTTGCTTAGCCAATAAAACAGAAAAACTGGTCGATCGATTAGTGGATAAAGACGTTCCTTTATTCGAAGGAATGGTTTTTAAGAGAAACAAAGAAATCGTTGAGCGAAGATCACTCGGATTACAAGACACTTTATCGAGGTTTTTGGATTCTCATACATTAACATTGGATTTAACCGAACCTCGCGGCCTAAGAGAAGGTGATAAAGGAAGTGGTGGTTTTAGTGATGGATTTGGAAAAGTTGATAAAAAAGATAAGAAATATCTTTATTATGCGTTAACGGCTATTGCTGGTATTTTTGGATTGTCGGTTCCGTTGGTTTTGAAAGGGTTAGCTATTTTAGCTGGGAAAGCTTTGTTGGCTAGTAAAGCTGCTTTGATTATTATTGGTTCAGTTGCTTTGAAAAAAATCTTTCAAACAGAAAAAGAGCCAGTTAATGTTCATACCCATACAGTAAGTGTTGATGATCACGATCGAATTTCTGCAATTAATAATGGTGGTTATCCTTATCAACACTATCAACCTTATCATTCTTATGCTCAATATTAAATTTGAAAATTAGGGTTTAAGAACACATTTACTGAAGTTTTAAAAGATTTTGGTATAAAAAAACCATTGTGATCTTAAAAGCCTATTTTTTCTTTTTGTAAAAAGGTTTATTAAAACTATGTTTTGTTTGTAGTTATTTATTTATTAGAACTAAGTTTATTATTTTGTACATTAATGTTATTATGATAAGTTCTAAAATATAAAAAAAATAATTTTTCTTCGAGTTTTAATGGAAAAAAAAATTAACAATCCGAGGGCTCGTCCGGGATTTGAACCCGGGACCTCTCGCACCCGAAGCGAGAATCATACCCCTAGACCAACGAGCCGAGGTGAAAGAATATGCTTATGATACAATCTGCAGATGTTAACTTTTAAATTTGCAAAAAAAATCAAAAAATCTTTAACATTTATATATACTTTTATATATAAATGTTATGTATATAGCAGTGAATAACAACTGAAAGTAGAACTAACGCACTTGATTTGTATATCGTACCAACATGGATTAGAACAACTTGGGGAATAACCCGAGTTGGATTTTATCTATGCGGCCCCTCTCGTCACTGCGACCTATGAGCTCTATTGTAACTTAAGCCCTGCAAAGGTTTAAGGCAGGTCTAGGTCCTTGATGGACCTTAGTATTGTTCCAAGGTCTTGTTCCTTGTTACTAGAATATTCACTTACTGTTAGAATATGTTCAGCGGTCTCTGACTTATTGTAAAGTCGACAAGTTTGATCCCCAGTTTATCCAGTTTTGAATAGATGACATATAGAAGTATTTTTCATCGCAAGGCTACCTTTGAGTCCTCCCATGTAGTAATTACCTGGTTGAAGTGTTTTTTTTTTGTAGTCCACAGCCGGGTTGAGTTCCAATAAAGGGCGTCCTTGCTGCCTCTTTGGCCAGCTTGTCCGCCTTTTCATTGCCCTCAATATCTTTGTGACCTGGAACCTACCATAGAATAACTTCATTGCACCTGCCGAGTTTTCTCAGGTTGCTGGGACATTTTTTGGCCAGTAACATGTTTATCGATGCTCGTTTCTGTCCCTTTTCAACGTTCAAAACGGTGCAGAAGTTTATGGCAAGTCCTTTAGCTTGAAAAATGCTTGTATCCGAACTTAGGGGAAACTTAATGCGGCTATTAAGTTTGAAATATTAATGTTTGATTTAAGACCGACTATATTACCTGCAATATCTAAGATATTAGAACGGATTGTTGCTTGTCGACTAAAAGAACATTTGGAAACCTTTTCCATATTACCTGATACCCAGTCTGGTTTTAGAGTGGGTTACAGTTATGCTACTGCATTCTTGGATGTTATTGATACTATTATAAGAGGAAGGGATATATTCTTGTTCTGCTTTTTTGTGCTTTTCTGTGCTTTTTTTTGAACATTACTTAATGAATCGCAGACAGCAAGTTTCTTTTGATGGTGACTGGTCTGATGAGGCTGTTGTGTTGTCTGGCGTTCCTCAGGAATCTGTCTTAGGTCCAATTCTCTACTTAATTCATACTAGTAATCTTTTCGGTGTGTTGCATCACTACGATATGTATATGTATGCTGATGACACTCAGCTTCATTTTTCCTTTAATCCTACTCAAGTGCTCATACAAGTGCGCATACTGCTCAGAATTATATTAATTATGATTTAGACAAATTGATCCATCATGCTTCCAAACTGTGCCTAAATATTAATCCGAATAACTCATCCATTATGGTTTTTGAGAATCAGAGTGCTGTGGACCATGTTCGAGAGTCCCTTGACATCAGTGTTTGTGGTGTTAGTTTACAGTTTAGCGATGAGGCATAGAACTTGGGCGTTACCATCGATTCATCATTTAGATTTCGTTCACATGTATCTAATTTATTTAAGCAAGCCTATGCTGTGCTGCGGCTACTCTACGGTAATCACAACTTGTTGAATCAGCGTTTAACAAATCAACTTTGTGATTCAATTGTATTGTCCTTATTCAACTACTGCGACGTAATTTATGATTCTTGTCTTTATGTGGCTATTACCCTTCAAATTCAACGTCTGCAAACCGCTTGTCTGAGATTTATATATGGAATAAAAAGAAGAGATAGGATTTCACATACTCTTCTTTGGGCTGACTGCTTGAACCTGTCACAACGTAGAAAATTACATTCTGCTTGCTTTTTTCATACATTAATTTTATCTGGAACAGGAGGGGTTCCAGATAAAATTAATATTTGACCGCTAAAATTCGTTACCGTTGTGATGTGCATAACATTAATGTTAGACATCGTTTTAGGCTTTCCATTCCTAGATTTATTTACCTAGCAACTATTTAAACGTTCATTTTCTTATGTTATTTGCAGTGTTTATAATAGCATCCCTTTGAGCATTTTGCAGCGAAGTGAGCATGTCTGGAGTGATGAGCATGTCTTCAGTGATAAGGCACTTCAGGCTGCCTTTGTGTATACAAATAAAGTGGTGTGAATAGGACTTGAAAAAGAGCCGACTGGATTTCTGCCAGCTGTTTTTGTAAATCGTTTTGCCACTAAACCAATAAAGCATAGACACCTATGGGTCTAATTATTGCCACATAGAAGCCTGTGGAAAATCTGGTTAGTCATGATGGTCTTTTTTCATCTTGACGATTTGTGAATTCTAGTTCAACTTACTGTCCATTATTAGCCCTAGCTATTTGACCTCTGTTTTGAGGTTAATAGCTCTAACTTTAATCGAAGGTGCTCTCAGTTGTAGCTTTCTTATCCGAGTAAAAGAGACTATTTCTACTTTGTTCAACTTAATGCTGAGCCCATTTTTTTTTGCATCGGGTGCTAATATGTAGTAGAGCTTTCTGCATTAATTTGTAGTAATATGTAGTAGGGTTATTTGCATATCCTTGAATCGTGAATCCATTCGTTGTTATTGTGTTCAATAAGTCATTAACTACTAGGCACCATAGCAGAGGTGAAAGCACAGTCTCTTGGGGGCATCCCCTAAGTGTCTTAATAGTCAATGACTAAACTGGTTGTGATCTGCCGAGTTTTCAGCATGTCTATACACCGATTACTCCTCGATGGACGTACAGTGTGTTAATTAATTATCGTACCCGACGTCATCATTGCAAGTATGCAACCAATTTACCAGTATACCCGATTTGCGCATTGCAATTCCAATACTGTGATATTGGTTGCATACTTGCAATGATGAATTTTTGAGGTTTTACTGTAATATACTTGTATAATTGTTTTAATGATAAAATTGAAAGATAAGTTGTGTAACTAACAATTATATTTCAACTGCTGCGACGTAATTTATGATTCTTGTCTTGATGTGGCTACTACCCTTAAAATTCAAAGTCTGCAAAACGCTTGTCTGAGGTTTATATATGGAATAAGAAGAAGAAACAGGATTTCACATACGCTTCTTTGGGCTAACTGCTTGAATATGTGCTGTATCTTTGCTATTTTGAGGTACATCAAGAAATATTCTTATTATTATNACCCGAAGCGAGAATCATACCCCTAGACCAACGAGCCGAGGTGAAAGAATATGCTTATGATACAATCTGCAGATGTTAACTTTTAAATTTGCAAAAAAATCAAAAAAAAATTTTTAACATTTATATATATACTTTTATATATTATATATATATATAGCAGTAGATAATAACTTAAAGTAGAACTAACGTACTTGATTTATACATCGTACAGACATGGACTAGAACAACTTGGGGAATAACCCGAGTTGGATTTTATCTATGCGGCCCCTCTCATCACTGCGACCTATGAGCTCTATTGTAACTTAAGCCCTCCAAAGGTTTAAGGCAGGTCTAGGTCCTTGATGAACCTTAGTATTGTTCCAAGGTCTTGTTCCTTTATGTTACTAGAATATTCACTTACTTGTTAGAATATGTTCAGCGGTCTCTGACTTATTGCAAAGTCGACAAGTTTGATCCCCAGTTTGTCCAATTTTGAATAGCTGGTATATAGAAGTTTTTTTCATCGCAAGGCTACCTTTGAGTCCTCTCATGTACTGAATACCTGGTTGAAGTGTTTTTTTGTAGTCCACAGCCGGGTTGGGTTCCAATAAAGGGCGTCCTTGCTGCCTCTTTGGCCAGCTTGTCCGCCTTTTCATTGCCCTCAATATCTTTGTGACCTGGAACCCACCATAGAGTAACTTCATTGCACCTGCCGAGTTTTCTCAGGTTGCTGGGAAATTTTTGACCAGTAAGATGTTTATCGATGCTCCTTTCTATCCCTTTTCAACGTTCAAAACGGTGTAGAAGTTTATGGAAAGAACTTCAGCTTGAGAAATGATTGTATCCGAACTTAATGGGGCTATTAAGTTTGAAATATTAATGTTTTATTTAAGATCGATCAGGATATTACCTGTAATATCTAAGATTAGAACGGTTTGTCGCTTGTCGACTAAGCGAACATTTGGAAACCTTTTCCATATTACCTGATACCCGGTCTGGTTTTAGAGCGGACTACAGTTGTGCTATAGCATTCTTGGATGTTGTTGATACTATTCTAAGAGGAAGGGATATATTCTTGTTTTGCTTGACGTTTCCAAGGCATTCGATACAGTCCACCATAGAACGCTTTTGGCAATTCTTTGGCATGCCGGTCTATCGCGCAATGCCTGTTCTTTTTTTGAACATTACTTAATGTCGCAGACGGAGGGTTTCTTTTGATGGTGACTAGTCTGATCAGGCTGTTGTGTTATCTGGCGTTCCTCAGGGATCTGTCTTGGGTCCAATCTTTTACTCAATTTATACTAGTAATCTTTTTGGTGTGTTGCATCACTGCGATATGTATATGTATGCTGATGACACTCAGCTTCACTTTGGGCTGACTGGTTGAACATGTCACAACATACAAAATTACATTCTGCTTGCTTTTTTCATAGACTAATTTTATCTGGAACAGGAGGGGTTCCAGATAAAATTAATATTTGACCGCTAAAATTCGTTACCGTTGTGATGTACATAACATTAATGTTAGACATCGTTTTAGGCTTTCCA